AATTAATCTAAACTGTCATAATTGTATTTTGGCCTGAACTTGTTCATCTTCAGGTCTTTGCACATGGTGAAACTTGGACGGCGCTGTTATAAGCGAAAAAAGTCTTGCGTGACTTTTGGATAACCCAGTACATAATAAGCAATGCTAATTTCATATTTGAAATAATCTTGAAACTCAAAGGGCGGAAAATAAGTCAAACATTGAAAAAACTGTATAAATAATGTCCACATCGTAATATCTAATGTCTATCTGCGAGTCTAACGCAGTGTCAAAATCGACCTTAAAAGTTTCATTATGTTCAAAGAGCTAGACCATGGAAAGATTCAGACCAAAACACGATTTAGACAGTTTTTCAGACATTGTTAGGGTGAGGGTCTGTGACAAGACCAAAATCAATGAATTATTGAATGTGTGATCAAGGCACACAAGCCTTGTTGGGGTACACATAAGAACTAACAAGTAACTTGTAAGCAATAAATAAGTTGTCGCAGGCAAGGCACCAAAATAAGAATATCAAATAATACTTTTATTGAAGTGAACTAGAAAGCCCGGGTCTAACCCAGTTTTGGCCCAGTAAAACAGTTTTGGAGTTAAACCGTATTTTTATAACTACTAACTAGAGAGAGCACTTTATTTTAAGTTTTAATCAACTAATATCACCGAATCAATGTCAATCGTTGAAAGTAAGGAGTGATCAAATAAAAAATGAGACCAACTTTAAACAGTGATATTTGGGTAATTATTAGGTTTATTTTATCAAATTTAGTTTTGTTGTAACTTGAGAATTGACAAAGGCCCAAGTGCAGTTCGGTAGAAATGCTCAATCTCAGTCTCATTTAGTCAACGCTCAAAGTAAGCGCAAAATATTTTGTCGTTTCAGACTTTTAACATTAGATTAGGCATACAAGGGAAAATGTCACCAACTTTAAATCCTTTTATTAATAATTAACGAATTAATTTGAATTAAACAGTGTTTTTGGGTGCGAATAAAAGAGAATGATATTTGCAATAATGTGAGTGAGTTTAATTTAGATTAAATATTACATCTGAAAAGTGGCCTTTTTGTACCAATTAAAATCTAATTTCTCGAGTTTTTCATCTTTGGAATCACTTTTCCAGGTGAAAAATTCAATCAAAAGGAATGAAACTCACTCAAATTATTGCGAATATCATTTTCTTTCATCATTCGCACCCAAAAACAATGTTTAATTCCAATTAATTAGTTAATTAAAAGGATTTAAAGTTAGTGCCATTTTTATTGCGCTGACATTTTATGCCTTGCAATTTACTGATAAAAATTTACACCGCTCACTCTAAGCGTTTAATATTTAGGAATAAATAGGATTGAAATCAAATCCATGGGCTAGTTTGGCATAATAGTAATTAATAATAAATTTGATAAAATGAACCTAATAATTACCTAAATATCATTGTTAAAAGTTGGTCGCATTTTTTATTGATCGCCCCTTAATTGTTAAAGGTTTAGAAAGTGGAAGTCAGCAATTATGGCTGATTAGAATTAGGTTGGAAACAGAAGTTCTTGCGATTTCTGATTAAGGAAACAACAGTTATGAAAGTGACTGTAAAGTGATTGAGGAAAAAACTGACATAGAATGTGGAAAAGGAAACAGCTTATATACATTTGTTTGAGTTAGATAAATATCTGGTTATAGTTTGACCACTTTTGGGATATGATGGCGATTAATAGTGGATGTGTTAGATGGTGTAAATGTTATCAAAAATTTGGTGTATTTGGGTGGTGGATAATCTTATAAAAAATTGTTTGAAAATGTGGTGGAAAAAGGCACTCTGATGGTGGATGAAAGTGCTGGACAATTTGTTGAGAAAAGTCTTTTTAAAAAGTGATGATGTTTGATTTGGTTGATTTGGTGGATGTGTTAGATCGGGTGGTAGACAATATGGTGGAAAATACGGTGAAAATACGGTAAAAAAGTGGAGGATGTGGTGGGAAAAATCCGACCCCGATTGAATGAATGATAATGCGGGTGCAGATTGATATTTAAGAAATTATTTAAGAGGAAATAATGAAATTACGTGTCAACCCCTTCCAATATGACTAGTTTTGCACCCTTCCAGATCTTATTTTTATTTTTATTTAAATTTTTAGAATCAGCATGAAAAAATACGCAAGATAAAATGTTTTTAAAGTTATCTGAAAATAGGAAATCGTCCCTATTCAATTTGACATCCTCCCAAGCAGTCAAAAATTGAGTAAATTTTCAGTAAAACTTTAGTACAATAATGTCTGTTTTTGCAATTTATTTGATTTTTCCGATTTCAATTGGGATAATCATCAATTTACTCTTATTTTGAACTTCCTCATTATTAGCAGACATAATATAGCGTTTTAAATATTTCCAAGTATTTTTTCAGGTCTGAAAACCACGGAAAATGAATCAAAGTTAGAAAAAAAATTGGAAAACTTTGCATTTTTTGCAAGAAAACGGTCTTTGACCTCAATTTTCTCGTGACCCGAAAGTTTCCTATCTGAAACCGACAAAACTTTTACCAGTTTTTTATGCTCTATTGAATGAACATAGTCTTGACCGGAAATTATTGAGACACCTGAGACACTTCCCTTGTAAGATTTTATTCAAGAAAATCTTATTGAAATTGATAGTCGAATTAATCGATCTAATGAAAGCTTATTAAATAATGTAAAAATGACTTGGGACTGGTGACTTGGGATACTTTTCACCTGAAGCTTCTTATTATCAGCTAAGAACTTCAAACTCACTGTATTCATTTTCCCTATTTATCAAAACGAATAATGCCGAGGATTGAGACCATTAAATATAAAAACGCTCATTGTTTGTAACATGAGACTTAACACTAAACATATGTGCTTAATGGTCAGCTGGCTGGAAAGTATCCATGCTAACGTTAACATTTATTGTCTTGTCTTGTGTTAAAAATGAATCGACTATGGACAATTTGAATGAGTGATCCTTTGAATTTTTGTACTTAAATGGAAGTATCCGAGGAAAAACTAAAATTTTTTCTCTTCAAATCAATATATCTAAATTAAAACTGATTAACACTCAGTTTAGACATGAAATTTCAGCAAGAAATTAAATTATTTGAATTAAACCTGCGAAAATCCAAAGAAAGCCTTAATTCTGACTGCTTGGGAGCTCCTTTAAAAAGGATTCACTAAAAGACCAAAATTGGCCAAACTTGGCCAAAACAGCCACAAATGGCTGTAAGTTTTAAGACACTAATTTATGCACATCTGATATTAATTATGTTGATTAAATTTCTCACTATAAAAATCGATATTAACCGAGAAAATTCATGACTTAGTTCATTGTGCTATTTTTAATTATGGCTGAAGTAAAACAGTTATTTTATAATTTTTTGTAATAGAGCATTTGAAAATTGACATTTTGGCCATTTAGTGGTTTCTTTAGTTTTTTTGGCCGATTTTAGTCGATTTTGGCCAAGTTTGGTCAGCTTGTGCTTTTAGTGAGTCCTTCTTTAAAACAGTTCAGTTTATACAATATAATCATTGGATTAAACACTGGTTACCTCCAAAAAAGTGGTTTAAAACGATTTATTACCATTTTATTGCCATTTTTATTACTCACACCTCGTATTCATGAAAATTTACACCGCTCACTTCAAGCGTTTAATAAATAGGACTGAGGTCAAATTTTGTGCGTTAAATTAACCTTGACTTTTATTAAGCATCATTAATAATAAAATTAAAACTAAATTTGATAAAAGAAACCCATTCTAAATTAAATATTAGAGTTTAAAGTCTCGTTTTATTTATTTTAATAGTATATTTATCAACTCTCACTAGTCTTAATCGAGTCCTTACACTAATCATTTAAATCATTTTTATCTCCTTCACTATCTTACCATCATGTGAATGAACTCTCATTGCATACCTCAAGCATTGTGTGTAGCGCTGGTAGCTCACTCTGGAACAATCCATATGAGTAAAAATGTCAACAACCAAAACAAACCATCTGATTTGATGTGTCAAGTGATTTTTGTTGAAAAGTGAATTGTTTTGGTCAGCAACGGAATGAAGGGATTTTGTTTTAATTTACATTTTTGGAAGGTGAGTCAATTTTTGTTATGTGATATTCTGAACAATTCTTATGTTTGTGTTAATCCTATTTTATCTATAATTTGACATGGATTCTTTTCCCCTTCTCATAGTGATCAAAAGAGGTGGTTTGAGCTGGTAAACATATCGATTTCATTATAACATTAGCTATTGGTTTAATTAAGATGTCTCAACAGTTCAAATACAAAAATAAAGAAAAACCACTAGAAACCAAGGTGTGTATCTAAACTACTAGTCACTTGTTATCAGTTTAACCACCTGTTTATAAAATTCAATTTTAATGCTCAATTATTACCTTTCAATGTCTTACCTCTTCAGGAGTTTGTAGATGCTTTCACACGTCCATGGGTAATTAGCAATATAAGGCAAATCATTAAAGTTAGTGAAGGCAACTTCCAAGGATTGATAAGTGAACCTTTTATTGCATTCAGAAGTGAAGCCAAGATGAAATTGTGCTGGAAAATTTTAACAGATGACACGATTTTACTCACGCCTTCAATCGATCTTCGCGTTAATTATCCAATAAATGTTATGGTTCGCATGATAATTCAATGTACACGATTCGCATATGAGCTTAACGATAGTTTGCCATGGACTGTGGTACCAGGAAAGGTCAATGTATGGGAAAACGAGTGCAAGTTGGATCTTCATGAATTTTTAATCGATGATTCAGTGACAATTAAGTTGGCCATGGTACATTTACTGAGCGCTGATGAACAAAAATTAAAAGAGAAGAAAGAAAAGGCAGAAGCAGATGCTCGAGCTGAAGAAAAAAGATCAAATAATGATAATTACCTTAACATGTTTTTAAATAGCGAACAAACTGATTTTACTATTTACGCTGATGGTAAAAGCATAAAATGTCATAAATGCGTTCTATCGACAATATCGACACTCTTGGATGTACAAGATGACAATCTAACATGCTCTAGTTTAACCATTGACAACTACGAGTATGATTGTGTCTACCAATTCATATTGTTTTTATATTCCATGGACGAAAATAATCTATCATTGAAAAAATATGCCAAGCATTTTTTAGCTTTAGGAAATATGTATGATGTAAAGCTTATTAAGGCAGCTGCTGAATCATATCTACTCAATGATCTGTGTCTAGCGAATGCAAGAGGTTATGCTTACCTAGGTAAGGAATATAATGCAGACCGTTTAAGACGAAGAGCTGAAGATTTAATCTTAGCTTGAAAATTTTGATATTAATTGATATGATATCAATGATATTTATAATTGTATCATCTACAGTATTCTTATTCCTCTCAAATGTTTTTGCATCATGATTATTCCTCATTTTTGTTTATTGACAAATAAAGCAGTGCTTCCCAAAAACTACAAAAACGATTTTTCGAAATTATTCAGCCCGTGTCGTGGAGACTGGAATTTTTGTTACAAATTTCTTTAAAAATCTCATTTTTATTTCTCTTTCTTGATTAATCAACACCCTGACTGCTTCATCGAGCCATAGATCATCATCGACAAGCGGTGCACTTGATTTAACTCCTCGAAATGGTTAAGAATGAGGAGGTCGAAAAGAGGATCGAAGAGGAGAAGGAGAAGAAAGTTTTGTGAAGATGTCATATTAGTAGCCAGTTGAGCGTTTAGAGGATTAGTGATCATATGTTGCATTAAATTATTTTGGTGATGCATGAATAAAACTGGAGTTTGAGGTTATCCAAATATCAAAATGAACAAAATGCACAAAAAGTTCAACGAAAAAGCACATATTTATCATAAAATCTCTTTAATTTCTTAGTTTGAACTTTTTGTTCTCAATTTTGTTCTTCCAGTTTGACCCTTGTTTTGTTTTGATCTCTGGTTACTCTTAATTGTATCCAGAACAATCTTCGCAAATATGGAGCAAAAAACAAGAACAATTGTACCAGGATATCGAAATAAGAAACTCTACCTCCTCATCGACCAGTGGTGCTCTTGATACAACCCCTCGCAATGGATCCTCTTCATCTTCCGTCTTCTCGGCAGCCGCAGTAAGTTTAATGGGAAACAACGGATTTGATGCTTCAATACGATGAAACCAAATTGATTTCATTACAATTTAATAGTGAATAATCTAGTCAATTTTATTTTTGAAAAATCTTTAATCAAGATAATTGTGTAGGTGAGTTTTCGTTTGAAATAGGTAAGATCATAGCTGAAAATCAATAGCTAAAATACAGCTTTCAGATAAAGATTTGGGACCAATTGAATAATGTTTACAAATCTAAAGTGAAGCTTTTTTTGAAATAAACTGCAAGATATATACATATTCAGTATAAACTAATCTTTAATTTGATTAGCAACCTGATATTCAGTCAAGTCGTATAAAATAAAAGTCATTGTATCATTACTAAAACTTTTGTGACCAGAAATTATAATTTAGCTAATCACACAAATTCATGCTTAGAAAGTTACTTGTTTGTTTTGCCGTTTCTGTTAGGAGAGGAATGTTGAATACGATAAATAGCTGCTGAATGGATAGGAGTTGAAGTTATCTGGGTTCTTTCGGTTCTCGTACATTCCTGGACGGTCCGAGAAGAGGTTCTAAATCGAACTGGAGTTATTTGCGATAGTGATTTTCCGTGACTTTTCTCATCTGCAGGATCAATTTGTCCAATTTTCAATGGTCCACTATCATTCAGATCTGATCTGGAACAGCGTTTTATTGCTGTTCCACTCGAAAGGTTGCTCTGATTTGAATCTTCTAATAGGAGACTTTCAGCTTTTCTCTGAGCTTCCTTAAGTGCAGAAAAATCATTAACACTTGGCGAAACATTAGCAGCATCATTCATCAAATTTTGAAGACTTTTTACTTTTTTTTGTAGCTTGATATTTTGTTCCTCTAAAGCCTTCAGACCTTTGGTAGTTAAATCAGTATCATCAGCAAGTGTACTTTTCTCCGTAATAACACTAATAGTACCTGCAGCTTCCTCTGCTATTTTAGCCGCATTTTTACGGTTAATTGATGAAACTGAAAAACTTTTCTCCATGGATTTTTGATTGATCATTAGTTGTTTATGACGATCCTCTAGAGCAGATAATTCAGCCTTAAGCTCTTTTATTTTAGCCTCCTTGTCAATGTTACTATTAGTTAAGATAGTTTGCTGGAACTCGGCTTCTTTCCGTTTGATATTGCTTAAATTAAGTTCAGCCTCCAATTGTTTAATTTTCATCTGCAATTGTGAAACATTTTCCTTTGTTTGAATAATACTGTGTCTAAATTAAAAAAATGATACAAAAACATTAAAACATATAACAAAATGAAATAGCATTAATAGTATGAACAGAAAAATTAATAGTCGATAAATCAATAAGATACCTTTCTAATTCGATGGAGTTTTGCAGAGACGATTTCTCACTTTTTAGATCGTGTATTTGATTTTTTAATTTGCGAATCTGTTGGTGAACGTCTTTCGAAGCTGCATCTTGTTGTTCAACGCTATCAGTTAAATTGTTAACTTTCTTTTTCAGATCTTTTTCACCGTCGGAGCATCTCTTTAATGCCATATTGGTTTCGTTGAGAGCAGAGTGTAATTTATAATTATGATTTTGAAGTTCAATCAATTTGTTGTTGACCATTTTGAGTTCAGTTAGAAGTGATTCTTTCTCCTCTGTTAGTTGATTACAGTTTTTGATGAGTGATGAGATTCGAGCATCCAGTGATTCTTTGGTCATTTCCAGTTTTTTTATCTTAGATTCATAACGTTCTCTTAGATCAGAATAATCTTTATCTGCAGTAATTTTATTTGTTCTAGAAGAATTTAGTTCATGTTGAAGTTTTCGCTTCTCTTTCTCTAATTTATCGTTTAAACTAGCAAGAGCATCAACTTTACATGATAGATTTTTCTTCTCCAGATCGAATTTATTTAGAGATTCTTCCAATTTTTGGATATTAGCAGTTGCTTCTTCAATTTTTCGAGACATTGTCTTGTTATCCTTCTCTGAAAGCCTTAAATCAGTCTCCAATTTTTCAACTTTCAGCTTAAGATTGCCATTGTTTTCTTTCATATTATCGGCCAATTGTTCAGCTTGTTCGAGGCATGTTTTCAGATCATCTCTTTCTTTGGACAAAGCTTCCACTTTGCTAAGGAGATCAATAATTGCTGAGCGAACAAATTCGGCATCCAATAACTCAGTGTCAATAAGACTTGACAGGAGATAGGATTTACGATTTTTTACTGGCACAATCTCATCAAATGTTATATCACTTTCATTGAGGGTCACATTACCCAGTTTGAGACAGCTTCGTAAAACCGAATTGAGTTTAACCAAATGTTCTTCAATCTCTTTCTTTTCGTTCATTAAATGATTTGTTTGTGAGTCAATCGTTTTCAATTTTTTTTCCAGTTCATTGACATTTTTTTGATAAGATAGGATTTCTTCTTCAGATTGCGATAATTTAGTTTCCAAATTTGTCCGGACACTGTCCAATCGTTTTATTTCTTCTTCTTTTTTATTTGAAGTATTTTTTTCCAATTTGAGTAAATGTTCCAATTCACTTATCCTGTGTTTTAAAGAGACATTTTCTTTCTTGACCATTTGCTTCTCTGCTTCAGTTTCAACTAAAATAGCTTTATCCTTGTTGGCTTCTTCCATTCTCATTTGCTCTCTTTCTGTCTTTTTTTCAATAGTTTGGTGAAGTTCATCTATCTCAGATTTTTTCTCGGAAAGTTCATTTTCTAATTGGATTTTAATCGTTTTCAAAATTTTAACTTCCTTTTTTAAATCACTTCTGGATTTTTCAACATCTTTGCAATTTTGTGAGACCTCTTTGAAATCTTTGATGAGCTTTTCAATGGTTTGCTCCTCTTGAACCAAATTTGCTTGACAGTCAGTTAAATTTGTTCGACAAATATCCAGTTCACTTTCAACGATTTCCAATTTGCTCTTCAAACTATTTATTTCATCTCGTTTGGATTCCTTATCTTGCTCTAATCGAGCAATCAGTCGTCGTAACTCGCTATTTTCTTGTTTATATTCGTCACATTTTCTGTTGAGATTGGCCATCTTGTCATTGTTTAACTGTAAAGTTTTAGCCAAGGTTAGTTTTTCTTCTTCCAATTGGCGAAGTTGAATAGTCAGGAAATTTTTCTCATCAACAACTTCTTGTTTTTTCAGTTTTATGTCATTGACTTCTTCTTTGAAGAGTTCAATTTTCCTAGAACAGTCATCAGTTACTCGTCTTAAATCTATTTCCAATCTCGAACGCTGTCTGGTAACTTGATCCACTTCATCTGCTAATCTTTTCTCTTCTTCTCGTAGTTCCTCGATCAAATCGTCCTTTTCTTTTAATAACCTGTCCTGGTTGGATAATTCACTGATCCATCGATTTTTTTCAGCTTCATGCACCATTGAGAGTTCCATTTTATCTCTTTCCAGCATATTAACTCTTTCATTTAATTGTACAAACAAATCTCTAGTTATATTTGCAAGTTGCTGCTGATATTCAACAATCTGTTTTTCCCGTTCACTTTTATTAGCAGCTAGTGGAGAAGGTGAGGCCACGATATCCAATGAAGTTATAGATATATTTGGCGGTTCTGGCATACTTGAATCCAAAATATCTTTTGTATAGTTGCCATGAGAGCCTTGACTTTCATCTTTTTGCTTGATTTCAGATAAATCGGTTATATTTTGATGTATAGTTGGTGAAGTTGATGAGGTTGTTGTGTTATGGGACGGTGATAGCAATGAGGATGAAGATGTCGATGATGACAGGGATGAAGATGAATTTGAAATTAAAGATGATGGAAAAGCGGGTTCAATTGGTGAAATTGCGGGAAAAGATAGACTTGAATTTAGATGACTGCTTAAGTTATCAATTGGATTAACATTCAATTTATTTCTACCATAGTTCCAAAATAACAAAGGATGACCAGTAACAGCCAATTTATGATTATCATTTCCATGGTCATCTACCAATAATTTGGCATCATTTAAAAGAGCTTCGGGATTCTGAATGAGTTCTGGTACTGCACGTTTATTTCCGGTTAATCGACCAAGCCACATTATAATAGCTTTCAATCCATTCAACTCAAAGGATGTTAAATGAGCATGTTGACCATTTTTAGATTTAATTAAACTATTACTATATAGTGATAAATTGTTGGTATTAGCTGATGAGCCTTCACTTGGAGGATTACCATCGACATCAACCGTCAAATGTGATTTACCAGTTAAACAATAAACATATCTTTGAAGAACATACCAAAGCATTTCGTGGTAAAATGGATATCGAAATTTTTCAGGAACTTTAGTTATATCCTCAACTTGAGCTATCCGGAGTTGTTTTTCAATTGAAAAGCTGTGTAGAAAATTTCCACCAAAAACAAGCGAATCTTCGGGTGTATAAACAGCATAAATCCATCCAGTTGGTATGAAAAATGTATAACCCTCATATAATCTGATACGAGCACATTGTTCAACAGTATCTCCAAAAAATATATCACTTTGTTTACCAGATAGGACCCATTGCTCGAAAAGTTGAATGTTTCTTTCACTGGGAGGAATGAGCCAAAAAACTTTTTGACCTTTCAGTATGTGGTACCAAGATGAAGTACCTCCAAAATCAATGTGAAAATCTGTATAGCAGCCTTTGACACTCATGTGACAGTATCTAAAAAAGGATTGGAAATATTAATAAATCAAAACATTCAATATAATATAGCATCATAATTACTTTTGTACTTTAGGGTATTTCACATCACCAATTGAATTGGTGGAAACAGTTTGCTGGTGTTTAAGATGTCTTGGCCAAACCCAATCAACCCAGTCAACCTGACGCACAATTGTTGGTGATTCAACCATTGAATCAAGCTTTGTGTCACTGAATTCTAGACTAGTCACAGTAAGAAGTCTATCCCGAACTGGATTTTCATAATATTGACACCATTCTTTCATGGTCATTTCGAAATCCTTTTGAGTAGTTACATCCATTACATCAATGATTTGACGACTGCCAACATATTTTTTCACATCAGACACAGTAAAATTTGAGTCAGGCATTTTCAGTCCCAGATCTTTTGTATTTTTTATTACAATTGGGCTATCAAATCCATGCTCTTGAATATACTTTAAATTAAGCTCTGAAATAACGAGGAGAATTAAAATATAAAATACGCTAAAGTTTACAATTTCATTAAATATGAATTAAAATATTTCAACACTTACCTTCACCTTTCATCTCTTTGACAAATAATTTGTCAAATTTATCGGACACCAATTTTTCCTCCACATCAAACATTCGAGCTCCTTCGATCTCTTCATCCCCAAACTCTTCTGTATAGCGCCGCCTTTCAAGGGCTCTCTGAAAATTTAGACAAGATTTAAAATCAGATATGAAAAAATTAAGAAGAAATTGAATTTCTTACCAATTTTCGTACCATTCCTTCAGATTTACTCATTTTTCGGCCTTTAGACAATTTAGTACAAAGTATAAATAATATAATCACGCACAATGACCAAGGAGAGTTGAGATGTGCATTGTACTTTATATGAGCTTATCACATCTTAATCTAAAAACAGAGAGAAAAAGAAAATAATATTAAATTAAATGTTCAGATTAATACATTTGTTTACATTAATCTCTCGCAAAGTGCGGCATTACTAGGGAAACTGTCTATTCATAGAGATGAAAATCTTTTCAAGTAAAAAAAGTCTAGAGACAATTTAATACTTAAGAAATTTATAAAATCACGAAAAAACACATAAAAACGAACTAAATAGCAACCAGAGAGTCGCATTTTGAGAGCGATTCTTCGCAAATCCTAGATTACTGTACATGTTTATCTGAAAGCTAAGTTTGCTAGTCAAGTTGATCTGACTGACAAATTTTATACCATTTTACAAATTTTTCAACTAAGTTTTGATAGCAATTCTGCGAGTCAAAATATTGAACGAATCCATAAATTAAGACAATAAGCGTAGGGTTAAAATGCAGCAAATCAAATAAAATGTTACAGTAATTTTAAAAATATCTTACCTGAACTTTAAGGTAATAGACTTTGCCAAACAGTACAATAAAAGTTTATTATGTTTTTTTGGATATTAAGTTTTATTAAATGATTGAATAGACACAATAGATGGCTGAATTGATTGACAGAAACAAAATTTAAACAAATTATTAATTCGAGTAGATCATAATCACTTTTTAAAGACCTTATAAAATTACACAAGAAACTAGAGCTACAAACAATCCCTCCAATAAAATCAAACAAAACATAAGTCATGGTAACAGTTGACATAGAAACAAACACGTTTATTTCACAGATGGCACCAGAAATCAATACAACGGTCAGTGTAATGCAAAGAGTGGTCAGTAATCACTGATTACTAATTGCTAATAAGTTATTCCCAATAACTTTAATCATGTACCTGACTGAATCAAAGTGTATTTTTGGGTATAGATATTAAATGAGTTCTGAGCATCTAAATTGTTGACAAAATTGAAATTCATTAAACTGCTCGGAGAATAGTGGGAATAAGCTATTTCCACATTTTAATCAGTAACTGTTAGTTACAGTTTATTACATTTTGTAGCCTACAAATGGAATGCTGTGACCAATCAAAATCAGGATATGACCATCTTCTTTTGTATTGTCCATGGATTAAAGGATGGGTGACCTGTGGAACATACAGAACAGAACAAGATTTAATCGTTGATAAAATGACGTCTGAGGCCTTCAATCTCTTACTTGATCATATTGAAGTTTTGAATCAATTAATGACTACCAAAGAGGTTCTAGACATGCAATGAGGAACTGGGTACTCCACGTTATGAAGGATAACTCACTACTCTACCCTTTATCTTTATAATACTAAATTTATACAATAATTTAATGTAAACATTTGTTTTAATTGTAAACATTACAATAACACTTTGTAAATGAGCAAATGCCAGCTCAAACATGGCGCCTTAGGGGGTGGAGTAGAGCCACTCAGCCATCTAGAGCTCAAATTTAGAACCAGTTCTAAATAATAAATTACATTTAAACCGTAGTTTCTCCATGTGATCTGTTGTTTTGATTGATGTCTTTAATTTGATATTTCTAATTTTGTTGTAAAATATTTATAACTGAAATCTACTTCATAATGTACCTCAATATCGTGATTTTTTATTTACTGATTGCGCTTACAAAGGTATGTGAAAATCGGATTAGTCTACTAGATATTCTATAGTAATGTTGACTTTTTTTCAACGCAGGCACAAGAGGTTTACCAGCAGACCAATTTGGATAAACTGTTGACCATAAAGCTTTATCATTCAATAAATTCTCGTAAGTATTTTGTTTATCGAGAATAATCAAACCAACTCATTTATGCATAATGTTTAATTTTAGCTGACAGTTATAAATTGAGGGGGACAATTATAATACCTTCTTCCAAGGAAAAAGATTTGGTGATTAAACAAGACAAACCATTAACCGACGAAGAAATCAATGATCTTGATGTAAGATGATCAATTTTTCCTGCTCTTAAACTAAATATTAATGCATTACTTTTTATTAACTCTTTCAGAAAGCCGCTCGTAACAATGGGTTTTATTTTTTGAAAGCTGTGGCTTATAAAAGTACCAGTGAAGATCAAACAAAAATGGCAACATCATTCATTGAAGCTGTTAGTTTTATCATTAATGCTATCTTTAATTTCTTTATTAATTTTTGTTGCATTTGTATTATTTTTAGTGTTCATTGGTACAATCTGGTCTATCTGATATAATTATGATTTCATTAGACTACTATGGAAATCTAATTGGAATAAGCTTGACATCAACAAATCCAACCTGTGAATCTTCATACTTTTCTACTGATTCAAGCAATAAACTCGATACATTCAATACAACAGTAAAATTAATTTCAACAACCCTTGGACCTGTGTATGTATAACTATGCGAACGGGAAATTTTTAGAATGATGAAAAATTTAAAGACTAAATTAATAATCTTGCTATTTTTCTTTACAGTCCGGACACATTATCTTACATTCAAAGAATGGAACAAGAAAAAAATGAAAAACTCAGAGGAGATAAAGTTGATAATCGATCTTTCTTTGGAAAATATGTAAATATCTATTCAAACAATCATTAATTCGTTTATTTATAAAAACTATTTTATTCTATCCCTTACAGTGGATGTACATCGTGCCTGTGGTTATTTTTGTACTCATCTCTAATTTGGCAAGTCCTGAAGGAATGGAACAAGCAGCAGCAAGATAGAAATAGTGACCATCTTAAATAGCACTTCATAGTGGCTTAAAAAGCTACGAAAAGGTATCAGATATAAACAGAGTATTGCACTAACTATATTAACAGGATGGACTTTTTCATAACACGAAATAAAGAAAGATTGCCAATCCACCAATTGTCCATACCCAAAATATATCTTCAATTTATGGTGTCATTACAGATACTCAACGTAATTTATGTTTTTTTTCATTCCCCTGCTTTGAAAGCTTTTTATCCTTATTTTTTGGCTAAAGAGAACAGTAAAGCTACCCCATTTTTAAACCAAACTGCTATATTAAGATCGTGATTTTTACACATGTATTCCATGCTTTCATCGGTATGCAAGGCCAACTTGATTCAATTATTGCTCACTACCAGTATTTTCATTTTATCTATTAATCCACCCAGATTAATCTTACGCATTCCCGGTACAATTATTCTTGCACTTTGTTTCATATTTGCGAAGATTGTTCTCGGTGCAATTAAGAGTAACCAGAGATCAAAACAAAACAAGGGTCAAACTGGAAGAACAAAATTGAGAACAATAAATACAAACTAAGAAATTAAAGAGATTTTATGATAAATATGTCCTTTTTTCGTTGAACTTTTTGTGCATTTTGTTCATTTTGATATTTGGATAACCTCAAACTCCAGTTTTATTCATGCATCAGTTCGAAAATGTTTCCAAAACAAAAACACTGAAAATGGTAACTTAAATAAAAAATTGCTGAGAATCACTTAACCTGATTATACAGGCCTACGATCATATTATGCAGGTTTGGTTCTCAAATAGGCGAGCAGAAACTGCGACTTGGTAGTCTTGGAAGTTACTCACGACCCTCAACTTGTGGTGAGAGCGATGTGCAATACTCTGACCTTTACTGAATTACCAATTGCGAAGCGAAACTCTTTTTTCCCCAAGTCCAAACCTATTTACATAAGGAAAGACACGAGAAGATTAAATGTTGTCATTTTTAACTCGCTTTTTCTCTTGCGAGGATCCATTGCGAGGGGTTAAATCAAGAGCACCACTGGTCGATGATGATGTTGTTGTTGTTTACGATTAAATTGTATCTAAAATTCCGCTGATACGAACAATCAATCCTTTCAAAACTCAGAAGCTTAGTCTCAGCTCCATCTGTAAGCAGATGAAGAAACGAAAGATAAATAAATAAAGTCGCATCTGTAATTTCATCATACAAGATTATTAAATGATTGTGTACATGAATTCATCCTGACCATTATTTTCTGATCAATTAGTGAATCTCAAAAGTTAAGCTATGAGAAAACGTTTTATTATTTGTGAGGCTCAACTCCTTATTGATGCTCTCTTTTGTAATTGTGGACGAAATCAAAAGTCATAATAAACAGACATCAAAAACTTGAATGATATTTCATGATTGACCAATCTAATTGTTCAGGTCATGGGGGGTTTGACAATGGTGTTTGCTTTTGTGAGGTGAGTAATTCTTAATTTTATTTGTTTTATCAACTATTAACAGTCTTAATCTGTCTTTTAGATTGAATATTCTGGTCAAACATGTGAAAGGCCAAATTACAGTTACTACCTTGCTTTGTCAACCATTTATTACTTAATCTGCATAGCTTCATTTATTCAGTTGGTGAGTAAATATAATCAGTATTCTGTTTATTAGTAGACAAATTATTTAAATCTTATATTCTTTCAGATCCTTTGTATCAATTCAGAGTTCAAGAGAATAAAGCCTCCATCGATTATCAGAAGCTTTAAAATAACGACACAAAAAGCTCTATACTTCTTCATTTGTGTTGCCACCATAATCAGAGGATTTTATTTTTCATCACCAACAAATCCTTCTCTTCATTGGGCTAATGGTTTAATGAATGCTTACTATCCTGTAGTTCTCAGTGGATCATCTTTAGTTGTCTGTTTTTGGGCTGAGATTTTCCATTTGTATGGCGTTAATGTTTTAAGACCAAGTTTTCTAAGCAAATCGTTTTCTGGATTTGTCTTTTTCAACATTGTTTCTTATTCTCTACTCATTACTGAACTGTTACTTTTCCAGTTTTCGGACAATCATGATATCGATAAGGTAAGCTTAGATTCAGCCTCAAATATGATCTAATTGTGTAAATTTTCATCTAATTTCTATCTTAATCTGACAGAGTATGTTCATGCGGGTATTTAATAGCATTTATGCAGTTCTCATGTTGTTGGTGGTTATATTTTTCCTCATTTACGGAGTTGAAGTTTATTTTAAAGTAAGTGACTCTATTCTTATACTTAAAGCTTCATAATTTCATATTAATTTTGCATAAACAGGTCAGAGGAGCATTCATTCAAGGAGAAAGTTGCCCTGCAAACTTATCGCAGCTTAAACAATCTCGCTTCGGTTTGATTTCTTATGCAACGATGTTACTTGTAACTGTTGTTTTCCTCTTCTCTGAAGTTCTTGGCGAAATTTGGAAAGAAAAGTAAGCGAACACATTTATCTGAATTTCATCCTGTATTTTGTATCTTTAATTCTGTATTTTTATGAAATTTCATCTTTGTTTCCATTTTTGTCTTCATTAGAGTTCCAATAATCGGTCGAAATGCATATTTAATAATCTTTAGACTTTGCGAAGTTGGTATCGCTCTTTGGTATCCATGTGTATTATGGAATTGTGTCAGACCTGAAAGGCTTTGGATCCTCAACCCGAGACGTATTCTCAAAACCGATGCAAGTGACTTGTCTTTGGACGACCTAAGATCCATCGAGACTGGAGCAGCTTTATTGGTTGATGGCACAAACAATAATTTGATGAGTAAAAATCACAGCAACTCATCTAGGTCTATTGATTGTTGGATTTGTTATGATGATGAATGTAAAGATGTCGGCCCGCTTATTCAACCATGCTTGTGTAAAGGTGATGTCTCTGCTGTTCATCATGATTGTCTCAAAAGATGGCTCATGGAGTCACATTCTAGTCCAGAAAATGTACATTGTAAGGTTTGTAAAGAACCTTATCTTATAGAGCGAGGAGTAATCTGGTTGCCATCAGGTTTGACAATTAACCATTGGCTACAAACTGGTGTAATTGCCATTTTAATGGCTATAACTATTGCTGGTTCTTATATTATGGTCAGACTTTTTCACCATGCAGGTGCAAGAATAATGTCTGTTGGATTTGCGATTCTCATTGAGTATATTTGTTTGAGATTTCTTGGATTCAATATTCTCTCAGCTTACCAAAGGGCTAAATTTGCTGCAGTGAAAATAATTAGTCGATCCATCGATGATTAGATTACAACTATTCTTTGATGTTTTGAAATCAAAATAATCAAAGCAACAATGGATTAACTACCATTAGTCATTCCAAAATGAAATCTATTTTGATGTTGAAAGAGCAATAATTTGCTATCAAAAAATTCAGACCAATATCTTCCATTATCTCTATGAGTTATACAAATCAAATACGAAATACAAAAAATGTATTTTGATTTACTATTTTCATTGTAATTTCCAGTTTTATTGCTCGCCTTTATCCAGAAAGCTCGACAAACTATAATGTTCATTTTCTTAATATTCCAATCATATTTTAAATATTATCATAATGCCTCAATTTTTCATGAATATCATCTCCAATTTTCACTGTCTTCTCCATTTCTCAAAGCTGTCTCCGTCAACAACAATTTACTGTAATAAACTAGTCACTTTATTTTAGACACAAATTACTTGTGTTTGAATCAAATAAATAAATCTGATACTTCTAGTGATTCTGAAACATGTTTCAGTGTGTGTATTGAGCTTATTTCATCAAGCCATAAGAATCTGTGTACGAACAATTATTCATAATACTTCCTGGTTCATCTCTTTTTTCAATTTTGTGGATCAACACTAGAAAATGAGTTGAAACCGAATCGCTACTAACACCTTTATTAACAACATGAAATAAAAGATACATTTAATTCGCAATCAACCTTTTCAATTAAATAAACTCGCGTTTTGATATCATGAATTTACTTCTAGGTTGCCATCAAAATGAACCAAAATTGGAACATCAGACCAGTTACAATACAAATGATTTTTCTTCAGATGATTTCATTAAAAACAAACTTATTGAGCTTTGACACAATCTATTTTTTGTGACAATTATTATTGATTATCTGTCATTCACCTAATTGATCAAAGCAATAAAAAGTAAAAGATTTTTGTCTGAAAAAAGATTAATCAGTCTGGACTTTCCTTAATAATTTGTAGATGTGAATCAATCAACTTAAATAATCTTCAATTAAATTTCAGAGGTCATTTTACTCGACAAGTCTTATTATAAGACTCATTCTGAAAAGCAAGCCATTAGTAAAGGAAGGAATCCTCTTTTTTAGATACTTCAAGTCTACAAGTTACATTGTTTCGTTCAAAATTTCAAGGAATATTCAAGTTCTGAAGGAAGATGAAGCTTTTAAATAGAATAGAGTGAAAAGAAAGAAAATATAATAAGAACTGAAGAGAGTTCAAACATGCATAAGTCTTGCGTAGTTTTGATATCATTTTCATCAGGGAGTTCGATACAATTCCAACTCTACTATATTATTGGTTCGATGTAGATTATTGTTGATTGTTGCTTGTTTTTGTTAAATTGATAATGTTGCCATTTGTGATAATCCAGATTTTAGGTTTAGTAATCGTTGAAATAATCGATGAAACCTTTTGCTTCATACCATCCAGAATACCAACTCATGGGCTTCCCAAACCATCTGGATATAATCCGAACCGGTTTGATTCGTCTTCCTCGACATCTCTAGCAACTACAACAGAAATGCCATTAACCAAACTTCACATTGGCGGTTTGTTCCCAATGACTGGTACCGGTGGTTGGCTTGGAGGCCAAGGTTGTCAACCAGCAGTGGAAATGGCATTGGAAGATGTCAATAGTAGACCTGATTTACTTCCAGGTTATTATCTTTCCCTAACTCCAAACGATAGTAAAGTAAGTAGAATAAGAGAAACATTAAAAATTTAAATCAGTCAATTGTAAGTATCTTATAATTTATTCAGTGTGATTCTGGTCTAGCCTCTGCTTTGCTTTATGAACTGGTCTATGAGCCACCAACTAAAATAATGATTCTGGGTGGCTGTTCAATTGTATGCTCAACAATTGCTGAAACAGCTAAAATGTACAATCTTGTAGTCTTTGGTTATGGATCCTCATCTCCAGCGTTATCCAATCGAAGTCGCTTCCCAACCTTTTTCCGTACACATCCATCTGCAACAATAAACAATCCAACTCGAGTCAAGTTGTTTAAGGAATTTAAGTGGCAAAGGATTGCAATGATACTCGAGGCTGAAGAAGTTTTTGTCACCGTAAGCTATTTCAATCTCTCTACTGGATTTGCATGAAACATTATTGAATCAGAAAGTGATTTTTTGTATTTCAAAATTTTCCAATCCATTTAGACTGCCAAAGACTTGGAGCATCAATGTAAAAAGGCTGGAATTGAAGTTTTAACTCGAGTAACATTCCTATCTGATCCATCAGATGCTGTGAAAAGCTTAGCTCGTCAAGACGCCCGAATAATTGTTGGCATATTTTACGGTGGCGAAGCGCGTAAGGTAATGTGTGAAGCGTACAAACAAAATCTTTACGGCAAACAGTATGTTTGGTTTCTTATTGGTTGGTATGAAGATAACTGGTATTTACCAGTGAAAGGACTCAATTGTACCAAAGAGGAGATGCTCAGAGTGGTCCAGGGTCATTTTACGACAGAAGCAATAATCTTGAATCGAGACAATAAGCAAACAGTTGCTGGTATAACTGCCCAACAATGGCTGGATCGATATCATGACCGTTTGAACCAAAGTTTAGGAACTTCTGTAAGACCTGAAGGTGAATTTCCATTATTCTTATCAGCTATTTTTGCCTTTTTAAGGTTTATGTGTTTTTGATGGCAGCAAATTTACATTACAAACGGGCAAAATCAAAATGAAAAATCACACTATAGTTGAAGATGGAATCGATTATCAATCAATTGTAAATTTTAAACTCAACAACGAATCATGATGTTAGCAAATCCTTTCAGGTTCCTCATTAGACGACCTTTCACTGAGATAATTAGAAATGTAATTGTTACTGAAGAAGGTAAATTGGTGCGATTAGATTTTGAATTGAATACAATTGTTAAAACTAAAATTGTTTTATTTTTAGCCTGATAATCAAATCTTAGTTTCAGCTTATTAACAACTTTTTGTTTCATGGTGATATACTTATTCAGTGAAACTAGATATGCTGTCACAACTGTGTTTTGATGGATTCTTTCATTTTGACTTTGAACTTTCGTATATCAACTGACTGTATTTTCAACTTACTTTGAATGATGATCAGGTTACCAAGAAGCTCCATTAGCCTACGATGCAATTTGGGCCGTGGCCTTAGCTTTAAATGCGACTATGCACAAACTCAAGAAACGTGGAATCGCCATCGAAAGCTTCAATTATGAAAATAAAATGATTAGCCAAGAGATTCAAAATTCATTGAGAGATACCTTTTTCCTAGGAGTATCGGGTGAAGTTAAATTTACGGATGAAGGTAAAATTTCACTGATTGATTTAAAAAAAATCATCTAAATAAATAATTAAATTGTCTCGCTCAAATTTCAGGTGATCGTATAGCTTTAACTCAAATTGAACAAATGGTTGATGGTAATTACAATCTGCTGGGTTATTACGATACTCAATATGATAACCTGTCTTGGGCCAGTGCACCTCAATGGCTTGAAACAGGATCACCGCCAAAAGATCGAACTGTAATTGTTGAACAGCTTAAAACAGTGTCACTTTCCTTTTTTGTAACTCTCAACGCAATCGCCGCCATCGGAATTATTTGGTCAATTGGACTTATCTGCTTTAATTTTAAATTCAGACGATTTAGGTAAGTGATAAACATTTTGATTTGTTAAGCAAACTCTTGTAATACTCTGTAAATACCTTAAATATTTTAGGTACATCCAAATGTCACAACCATTGTCAAATTATATAATGTTGATAGGATGTATTGGCTGTTTGTCATCAGTTGTCCTTTTTGGCCTGGACAGTCAAAAGATCAGTCAGAGGGATTTCACTAAACTCTGTCATGTAAGTTGATTTTGATTTTACATGCACAGAAATACACAATTTTAAATTCATTTCTTTATTCCCGGATTTTTAGTGTAGAGCTGTGTTACTTTCAATAAGCTTTTCTCTCTTTTTCGGAGCCATGTTCACAAAGGTTTGGTTTGCATACAGATTGTCGACTCAATTGGAGGAATCCAGTAAATCAAAGGTAAAAAGAGGCTTCTCTATCAAATTTCCAGTTTGAAGACACTCATCATAAGATGTATTTGTTTTTGATTAATTGAACAGGTTGAAAATGCACAGGTCATTTTGATGATATCATTATTCTGTGTGATTGATATCGCAATTTTGACCAGTTGGTTCATCAAAAGTCCAATGATCCGAATAACTGAAAAGCTGGAACAAGAAGATGCAGATGATCCCAATGATGAAAATATTAAGGTGAATTTTTGTTCAAAACCAAATAGTGTTTCCTTCATCATTCATAAACATGAATACTGACTGGGTATTTTTGCTATTCCAATCCATATAGATTGTCCGGCGATTAGAACGATGTGACGCCAATCTAATTTGGTACTGCATTCTATTCAGTTATAAAGGTTTACTTCTACTTTTTGGTCTTTTCTTAGCCTACGAAACTCGAAGTGTTAAATTGAAGCGACTCAATGATTCTAGGCTGGCTGGTATGAGCATATACAATGTTGTTGTAAGTATATTTGTATTCAACTTGTAACTAAACTAGAGACGGGTGAATAGCTTTAAATTAACCATGAACCAATATTTTACTCGTTGTCCTTTCTTTTGTTGATAATCTGTATCACACTTAGATCCTTTGTATGATTACTGGTCCGGTGTCACTTGTTATTGTCAACCATGTTGATGCCCATTTCGCCTTCATTGCATTCACTATAATCTTCTGCTGTTTCATCTCCATGGCACTGATATTTATACCCAAAATAGTGGAACTGGTAAGGAAGCGTGGTTCTAGCCTTTCCTTTGGTAGCTCCTACATGAATGGTACTTTCAATGAAACATTAACAATTCAAGAACAAGAAGAAAGGTTAAAAAAGCTTACCTTAGAAAATGAAGAGCTTCAGGTAAAGTAATCGCAATGATTTAAACGTCAACTGTGAATATGTGTAATCTAACTGACATTTACTTTATGATGTTTACAGGCCAAAATAGCCGAGAAAGAATCACAAATCGATGAAGTACGTAAACAAATGGAAGAAATAATGAAAAAGAGGGAAAGTGCACCAAAACACACAAAAAAAGCTGTACGAATCAAAGAGCCAGATGTGAAAAGGACTATTAGTACAATCCATGTTGACCCAGCAACTGATTCAGGATATCAATCTGCTCGTTGCTCCAGACCATCAGATTTTGATATTTCAGAATCATATTTATGAACAAAACAATCAGACTTAAAACAAAAAAATGATTGCTCATCTTTAAAAACAAAAGGAGACTCAAGTGCTTAATTTAAACGTAAGGTTGTGTTATGTTGACTGTTAATAACAAGAAGCTTGCAATGTACATGTGATTGGTCTATTGTAGGCTTTATATCGAGCGAGTATGTTTGGTAAATTTTATCGAACTAATGAAGAGATCAAAAAATCTTTATCCAAAATCAGATTAATAACTTCAATCAAATTAAAATTTCATCCTTCCCCAATCCTGGATCAATCTACGCAAAATGTAATTGAAAAAACCTGGACGTTTGTCAACAAGCAGCTAAAACAATTCAAATGCATCTTGAAACTCTGTGATAATTCATTGTTAATCTGACTCTAATTAATTCATCCATCTTCATCTCAAAGCTGTTGAACAATAAATTCACGAATTCGCTAATTTTTTGTCGACAATTAGCTGACTAAGCCATGCTCATAAAAAAATTATAAACTCATAATAATCTCATCTCCAGCAATCCAGTTATCCAAAACTATTCAAGATAAACCATTATTGTTTGATGATCCATTTGACAAATCTGTGACTTTGGGTTTATCATTTGTACAATTAAGTTTTTGAAATTAAGTTATTAAGCCACATTAGGATTTAATAATCAATTGCTGAATTGACTGACTCTCAGCAAAACCCTAACCTGCCAAACTGAATGTTTAATTTTATTAATTTCTATTTTTATTGAGTTAGTTAACTAACAATCTAAATTGAATTAGTCTTTAAGTGGTCCATTTAAACACTTTAAAAGTAAATGTTTAATCAATTGTAAATCAGATGTTAACTTTACAAGTTGTATTCACAAATTGTTTACAGATAAATAAAATTAAATAGATAGTCTTCATTCAATTGCCATTAATTTTAACCCAATTTTTTAACAGATGACCAATTTGGACAAGGGTCAAAACAGATAATGCCACTGGTGAAATAATCAAAGCCTAATAAAAAACAGGTGAGTGAAAGTGAAAAATATGAGTGAAAAGTCCTGAATTATGAATAATATTATGACTTTAGCTGAAGCTAATATTAGCCATAAATTTTAAATATTAATATTTTTACATTTAAATGAAATTACAAGAATTAAATAAAATATATGCGAATTTCTTGACGGCAAAAATAGGACAGTTGATTGAAAGAAAGTTGAAGGCACTTTTTTGAAGTCGATGTTTCTGTTTAGTTTAATTTAACAAATGATTTTTTGCTGCTTTAAGTGCGGCATTATTTTTTGCATTACCAACATATCTTTCCATTTTCGGTATCTTTATTTTCATGAATCATGATTGATGACTTAATTTAGGAATGAAGCTAGAATCCTAAACTATTTCATCTATTAATTTCATTTCAACAAAATCGATTCAATTTTGCTCTCGCCTATCAGATTATGATAGCTATGCCTATTTAAAGTGAAAAAATTATCAACAATCAATAAAAGTAAAATAAAAAATTACCCATGTTAATTGCAAATAACAATATCTTGTGCCAATTGAAGCCGTTTATGTGGCTCAATAGTTAGTAATACAAAAGGCCTAATTAGACACTCTTGATCTTTCAATTAGTTATAGAAGTCCAGCAATCAGTGCCAACTCTATCGGCTATTAAGTGATTAAATCTATTGACCCCTTGGAATGTCGAGTATCAATCAGTAAATCTAACTGTGGCGGTATATTTTAAACAATAAAATGTATAATTTGGATGAGTATGAATATGTACATATATGTATGTCCATAGAGTTTGCTAATTTACTCTTCGTGTTTTAAATTTCATCTAAAATGAAACATGAATGGACGAGTTTGGATTTAATAAACTAAACTTTTCAGTTAACGAATTGGAGCCCGATATTATGCGAAAAGGGTAAAAAGACTTGGGTAATTTACTGCTACTTGTTGAATTGTTACCAAAAATGAGAAGCAGTTATTACAATAAATTTGACATTTTGTTTTTGTTGCAGAAAAATGTAAACAAAAAACGTTATGTTGGGATTATCTGCATTAAGTGGAGGAATCATTTTTGGCTTGTCTTTTTTGCAATGCTTGAGCCAAATCGATTCTAAGAGCTTCCTGTTGCTTCTGATCGGATAAAGAATTGACTGATCTAAGGCCATTAACGATGCTGTTGGTTTTACCAAAGTAGATCTCATTCAGAGTGTTACGTATTTTATTTTCCATATCCTGTGTGTAGAATGAATAAATGATGAAATGAAATTAAAATAAATTGAAGCCATTGAATGCGATTTTCGTCAGTAAATTTATAGACATCATTTTCATTAATTTACCTCAACCATGCTTCCTATATTGGCTATATGTGGATTCGAATCGTTGACCGTAAAATCCTTTGTTGACTGACGAGTTAGACTACCACCAAGATTCATTGTTCCTGATCCTTGTTTAGTAGTTTGTAGCCATAACATTACAGTAGATGTAAGTTTATAATGGGCATTTCTTCCACCAGACTTTTCCTAATCAAAGGATATAAATTAAAAATATAGTTAATCACTTTTTCAGATTGGCATGTAATTGGAAAGAAATTAACATGGTCTAAAATCAATGATTTGATAACGGTTTATACCTGGACTTCAAAAACATGTATTGAATCCCAGCAGCCTTTAATTTTGTTGGATCCATTGCCACTTTTTTTTATCAAAATTACTCCAGCAAACCCCTGAAACCCTGGATCTAGATCCCAAAGATATACAGATGATATACCACCTTCATAATACATTTCTCGATATTGAGCAAAGGCCGCATTAGCATCAATTTCCATCTGTCTTAACCTTTCTGAAGGCACAGTTCCATCTTCGATTTCTGGCTCATAACTATTACTCCAAGGAGATCTATAAGATAGAGCAAAAAAGAATTAATCAATAAAGGTCAATTTACAACTTCGAAGATATGGTAGCTGATTCTGGTATCATTGAAGATATTATCAGTAAAATAGAAGAATACACTGTATATCACAATTATTGCACCATGAAATACACTACTAACCTATAGGAATCGCCATCTCGATTGTAATCACAGAGAAGGTAGTCTTTTCCAGTGATTTTGTCCCTTGCAATTTTGAGAGGTTGATCGACTGATGATAGTAGATCCTCACACAAGCTCGGAACCTAGAGAATATGAATAAATATTGAAACAAATAAGCACAGTAATAAAACAGAATGCCAATAAAAGGCTGAAATAAGGCATGGTAAAATTAAACTTACGAGATCAATTAAATCGCAAAGATTCTTCTCAATTTGTTGAGGCGGTAGACGCCGCATAAGGTCGAGTGCATGGTCAAGTTGATCATTCTGTGATTTATACATGAGTATTCAGAAAAACGGAGAGCAAAAAAAACAAGATGTTATGAAGAAACAGCAGACACAGAAGTAGGAAGATGATAGTGATGTCAAGTCAAGTCAACAAAAACATGGAGATTGGACATTGGAGGTTTCCCGGGCCATAAGAAAAGAAAGAAGAGAAAGAGAGAGAGAGAGGAAGGGAGTGAGAAAGAGGAAGAGGGAAAGAGACAAACAGAGATATTTGTAAGAATGAGAAGTGAATGTAAATGTTCACAGTATATAAAGACCATGAAGGAAAAAAAACCAAAGAAGGCAAAGAAAAATAATGAATTAGCAAATATCATTGATGAATAATATGGGCATAATGAAATAATGGGCGCATCAAACAAGTCATAATAAGCTAGCAGTAAATCTTACCATATTAGACATTTGGTGATGATAATCAGTGGTTGGTTTAATTAATAAGAATAGTTGATTGTAGTGTAAAAAAAACTTAGTTAAATGGTGAAGACAAGAAGTAAAGAAAACACAACAAAATAGGGTTTTAAGTTAGGTGTAGCAACAACGAAATTGGAAGACACCTCTCCTGTCCAAAAGCGCCGCCCTTGATTCACTTGTTATTAGCCATTATTGCGTTTAATAATTCAATGAAAGATGAGAGTTAATCAACTTAAAAAAACAGAGCTATGAAGACAAAATAAATAAACAAAAACGAAATGAATGGCTTGAAACGTTAACTATAGAAAGCAATTGTTCCAATGATTTTTCTTTGGCTACTCACTCAGAATCAGGGTTCCACTGGGAAACGGAACATTCATTAAGGTGTAGGAGAGAGAGAGAGAGAGAATGAATTAAAGATAGACAGAGAAGAAATGAGAGGAAGAGGGGAAGAAAATTAGAAACAGAAACAGAGGGAAAGAGACAGAGGCAATAAAACAGCCAGACGGTAGATTTATTCACATCAATTGTGAGCTTAGTAGCTATTACGCCTTTCAGAATTTTACTCGATTGGCTCAATTAGATAGACGATAAGATCTTATTTAATTAGTTCTACATCCTCTGATTACAACCATAGAGTAAAAATTTTGTTACAAGCTGATTGTCAATGACAAAAGTTAGCTGTTTGATACCTTGATTACTACTGATTAATTTTGATAATACAATGCAATATTGAAAAATGCAAATTCAAATGAAGAGATTCAACGTTACAAGTAAAAAATGAGATATTGAAGAAACAATTTTTGCCGTCAAATTATTCAATAGCTTCACAGAGTTGACTAAGTTCATGTCGAATTTTAATTTCTATGCAATGAATGTATGAATTGGCAACATATTTAGCATAATTAGAATGAAAAATTAGCCAACTAAATTAGCATTAAAACGATGAGTGATGGGACTGAGAAAATCTCGATTTATTGAGGCAAAAAGCCAAACTAGTGCGAATATAATCTCGCAATTGTAACACAAAGTTCATCAAAAGTATGAACCTAATCCAGTAATTGGTCACATTGATTCTTCAACATATAATTTAAAATAAAAAATGTTAAATTAAAGTACATTTGATTGGTTTTTTGAGGACAAAAAAAGCTCAATTTCAACCATTTGAACCGGTCTTGACAATTGGACTTTTTAAGTATCCAGATAAATGAGAAAAAGATATCTTGATATTGATACCGATATGTGCGCCGCGCGGTTAACGAATTTATAGTTAACATTGTGAAGTGAATTCAATGTTGATTGTTTTACTGTGTTTTAAGATTCAATTAATTTGTCTTTAATTTAATCTAAATTTATATTTCACTTGTGAGCCTGTTGAGGTTATAATTAAACATTACTATTGATTTTTGAATTTGGAAATTAATTTATTAGTTTCTATAATAATACAAGTAAAGACAACATTGAAAGATAAGGAATACAGTGGGAGCCTGAAGCCAACAACAGCAAGATCGCCATCTTGAAGCATTTAGTGACACTGTCTCAATCTGGATTTGGTGATTATTAAACTAGAGCCTAATTCAATTGGTTTCCAATGAATTTAACTGGTTTTATCAATGGTAATTAATTGTAAGTTGACTTTATTCTAATTTTGTACTAATCATTTAATTTACTGGTGTTACATGCTTTGGTTTAACCTATTTATGAAATCTAATTTTTCGGTCTCTTACAATTCTCATTTCTCAGTTCTTGCTTGTTTTTGTCCCCTCTTTTTTTTCTCTTGCCTTTCCTTGGTTCTCCTCTTTTTTTGCCTCTCTTTTACTTTTGTGTGGTTGGACAGAAGACTTGGATTGAGCTTAAAAATGATTTCATATTACAACTGTAATATGTAGTTGGTATTTGTTTTTACTTATTTTAACGTTCTCTTGGTCATCATTCCAGGTACTAAATTCAAATCGAATTGCAGCATGTTTGTTTCGTTGGACAACATTAACCAGCCATGTCTTTCTTTAACCTGGTGATTCACTGTTTTCTTCTAGTTAGCCTCCCATTTTTTGTTTCATCTTCAACCAACAATCAACGATCTATTACCTTTGATGACAATTATTATGTAGAAGGTGTTATTATTCTTCCTTATGCTGAAATTCATGAAACTTTTACAGCCTACTATGATGGTGCAGCTAACCGAAGTCGAATCGACTATTATGGAGATTTGGTTTTAACCCTGCAACGAGGTGACATCAATTTTGACGACGATGATGTTCAAGGAGTAAGCTACAAAATTGCCTACAATGTTGATGCTGCTGGTAATCCTGGACGAGTCTGTTTCCAAGTTAATGGTTCATCAATTGATCCAGTTGCACCACAATCTGCTTTTCCAGATCTAACTCCATTTATTTATCAAGGAAGCAAAGCCTGCCCTCAATATGGATCTGAGTTCAAAGGAAGTGGTATCTGTGAAAAATATACCAACATAGTGATTAATGGGGAAAAAAAGAGCAAATATACTTTCTGGATGAAAAGAAACCAATCCGATGGATCGCCAATTCCGGTGCTCTATGATATGGAAGGTTATAATTCTCTTTTTGGCTCACATTATGACAGATATCAAGTATTTTACCAAAACTATCGTCCTAGATCAGTATCAGCTGAAGTATTTGAGGTAACTCTTAATATGACCTGTGGAAGTTTCCCTGGAACTGGAGCTGGTAAAGTGCGTCATTTACACAACCCAATGTCTGAATTTGTCAATGATGAAGCTACTCGTGAAGCTCAAGTAAGCAGAGCTTTCAATCTATTCAAATCAGCTCACAACAAAAACTATGAAAATAATTTGACTGAAGAGAAACGCCGTAATCAATTCCGACACAATCATCGTTTCATTGAAAGCCACAATCGTCGTAACATTCATTACAAGTTAAAGGTTAATCATCTAGCTGATTTCATGGATTCTGAATTGAGATACATGAGAGGTAGACTTCGATCCAAGGGATATAATGGTGGAAGTCCATTTGGTCTTTCAGAAAGCAAGCAACGTCCTCCAGAACTCGATTGGAGAATTGCTGGTGCTGTAACTCCAGTTAAAGATCAAGCTATTTGTGGATCTTGTTGGTCTTTTGGAACCATTGGTACCATTGAAGGTGTTCATTTTGTCAAAACTGGTCATTTGGTTCGTTTGTCAGAGCAACAATTAGTTGATTGTAGCTGGGATCAAGGAGACAATGGTTGTGATGGAGGAGAAGACTTCAGAGCTTATGCTTATATTAAAAAAGCTGGAGGAATCTCTCTTGACGAGGACTATGGTGCATATTTAGGACAAGATGGAAAATGCCATGACTCAAAAGTACCAAAAGTCGTTAAGCTCGCCGGATTTGTCAATGTTACTTCTGGTAGTGCTGAAGCTCTTGAACTGGCTCTATTTGAGCAGGGGCCTGTTACCGTTGCAATCGACGCCTCCCAAAAGACTTTCTCCTTCTATTCTCATGGTGTTTATTATGATGAAAATTGTGGTAATACTCCAGATGATTTAGATCACCAAGTTCTTGCCGTTGGTTACGGCCTACTCTATGGTCAACGTTATTGGCTAATCAAGAACTCATGGTCAACTTATTGGGGTAATGATGGTTACATCTTGATGGCCCAGAAAAATAATAACTGTGGAGTGACAACTAACCCAACCTACCCACTTCTCGTTTAAATTATTTAACAAAATCCATAATCTACATTAATTGTAACCATTATTTTCGTTTGAGTTGCATGGAAGTTGCACTGTCCATTTCAAGATGTAGGACCCGATAATAATCTGACCATACGGATTAAACAAAGTCAGAGATCTAAACAGTTTTTCAATTAAAAGTAAAAAACATATTTAGCATTCACATTCACAAACAAAATTCATCAACCTTGAAAACTCAAGCTCTACCAAGCCAAGATGTTTATGATTTTCATACCGTTAACGTTTTACCTGAAGCTTCATGTAAAAGGGTAAGTTCAAACGGCGCTGGTTTATAAACAATGAGTTGATGATCATTGATTAATTATTTGTATTGTCATTCACAGGCTCGTTTTGATGAAGCAATGGAACGGAGACATCTCTTTGAAGAAAATAATAATAGTGTCAAAAACTCGGAAACGACTGATGAGGAAAGTGATAGTACAATTACAAGTACACTCAACTATTCTCTTAAGGCAACGTTTTTTACTCTTTCTTTCTCGACTATCTCTTACTTTCTCTCTTACTTTTTTAGAAGAAAGGTTTCCTTAAGAGGGTAGTGGTGTGTAACAGTAATAGTGCCTCAAATAATGGAAGTATCAGTGGAAAGGATAAATTATCAATAATATCATCTACATCTTCATTGACCAATACTTCAAAGAAAACAAATGACTCTCATGTACGATCGTGTGCTCGTTTCCCACTTTTACAAGAAGCCATCAAAAAACAGAGTCAAGAAAAGAAAGCCTCAGAATCTGAAAAGAAAACATCATCAAAGTCATTATCTGAATCATCATCTACCTCAAAAGGCTCACGGGCCAATAAAAAGCATCACCAAAGTGCTCGAGATCGTCTTTTCAAGAGTCTTAAAGGGCTCAAAAAGAATTCCGAAATGGTCAGATATTCTTCAAATTACAATGGAATGTCATCATTAAATAAAAAACTACCCTTCAAAACCGGATCACCCTCTAATGGCATGAGCTCTTCTGCCTCGAATGGACCTTCCAATACTCCAAGTCCTATATTATCTCGATCAACTGTAGATTCACCAGCATCGACATCAACTCCACCACCATCTGGACTGAAAGCCACCAACAGTACAGATGTTATCATGAAAGAATCCACAAAAGAATCTGAAGACTCAAAGTACAAAAAAGCTGATCAATATATGTTTGACGACGATACTGATAATGAAATTGAAGAGAAGGAAAATTCAATGGCAACCTCGGATGATGCCAGCTCAATTATTGAACAAGATTTCCGGCCAAATGATCCACCCAAGATTGTTGTGGGAACCAAAAGTGATGGTGAAAATTTAATCAAACCAAAATACGTTGTTAGACCAGCACCATTACCGGAAGATTTATCGGATGATGATGAAACTGAGGAAGGGAACTGAGGAAATATTTCTGATGCAAGTTTGGATGCTCTTAAAAGATGTACAAATATTGTACAAATAAGCGATCTCAAAATGAATTGAATATAATTTTTCTTAGTAATCCTCTTCTCTTTTTTGATTAAATTCAAAAGCTTGATTGTAAATTATTAAATTTGTACATCATGAATATTTTTTGGTATCCCATTACCCAAAAAATAATTGATACATTAAACATTTACTGTTATTAAGTCTTATTGCGTTTAATATCAAATTAATTTAAATTTAATTTTCAAAGCTTGACATTCATTCAATAGATTAAAAGCTGAATAAGAAGTGAATCAGAATAAACTTGCTCCGTCGAGTCTTGTCCTATTCATGTGTAAAGACTGAAAACCTTAGATTTTCAACCATCTTATTAGCACAATAATGACAATTGGTCACATTGATTCTTCAACATATAATTTAAAATAAAAAATGTTAAATTAAAGTACATTTGATTGGTTTTTTGAGGACAAAAAAAGCTCAATTTCAACCATTTGAACCGGTCTTGACAATTGGACTTTTTAAGTATCCAGATAAATTAGAAAAAGATATCTTGATATTGATACCGATATGTGCGCCGCGCGGTTAACGAATTTATAGTTAACATTGTGAAGTGAATTCAATGTTGATTGTTTTACTGTGTTTTAAGATTCAATTAATTTGTCTTTAATTTAATCTAAATTTATATTTCACTTGTGACCCTGTTGAGGTTATAATTAAACATTACTATTGATTTTTGAATTTGGAAATTAATTTATTAGTTTCTATAATAATACAAGTAAAGACAACATTGAAAGATAAGGAATACAGTGGGAGCCTGAAGCCAACAACAGCAAGATCGCCATCTTGAAGCATTTAGTGACACTGTCTCAATCTGGATTTGGTGATTATTAAACTAGAGCCTAATTCAATTGGTTTCCAATGAATTTAACTGGTTTTATCAATGGTAATTAATTGTAAGTTGACTTTATTCTAATTTTGTACTAATCATTTAATTTACTGGTGTTACATGCTTTGGTTTAACCTATTTATGAAATCTAATTTTTCGGTCTCTTGCAATTCTCATTTCTCAGTTCTTGCTTGTTTTTGTCCCCTCTTTTTTTCTCTTGCCTTTCCTTGGTTCTCTCCTCTTTTTTTGCCTCTCTTTTACCTCTGTGTGGTTGTGTGATATAATATGATATGTACATACTTATTCAGATGTTAATTGCTTGATCTTCTTGATGTATTTCTTCTTTATCTCCTATTAGCTTTATTTTTCTTTCAGATCTTCGTATTTTCCTTTCTTTCTCGCCTCTCCTATCTTTCCACCATCTATTCTCTCTGTGTTTTGTTTCTGTTGATTATTTTTGTTGATTATTTCCTCCCCCTTCTTAGTTACTCTTGGATCATCTTTGGCATTATTTTGCTTGCGTTACCTTTAGTTTTTTATTTCTTGGTACCTAGATGAATATCAAGGTTACACGTCTCATTCTAAATCAATGACAAGTCTATCATCGAGGGATCGTGCTATTTCGGTTAAAACATTAATTTGCTTTCTTCAAACTCTCATTGGACAGAAGACTTGGATTGAGCTTAAAAATGATTTCATATTAGTTGGTACTGTTAAACAGGTTGATGCTTGCATGAATATTGAACTCAGTGAGGTTTTAGTGAAGAAGCCGGTTAACCTCGTTAACAGTGATTACAATCAGTCTAACCTTGATTATATGTTTGTAAAGGGTACCCGAATAAGATATGTTTCTGTGCCTGATGAGATAGATGTTATTGAAAATATTAACCAAGGGATTGAAAATATTAGAAGTCATCATTCACAACGCGTCAACTCTACCAGAAGGGTTCCAAAAGCTGTTAACAAAGACAATTCTGTCGGTGTTTAACTTGGGTGTGTTTTTACTTATTTTAACGATCTCTCTTTATCTTCTCTTTTATCATTCCAGGTACCCAACTCAAATTGAATTTTAGGATATTTGTGTTAAAATGCCACTTACTAGAAAATTGAGGAGCAGCAGAGGAAACAGTTCACCAATGTTAGGCAGAATCAGTGGATCAAATAACCTTGGAAGTCCAAGCGTTGTCAAACCCAGAAGTACACCAGGACCCGGTAGGCCTCCACTTCGAGGCAGAAAATCTTTCACGAGGTTTACTCCTACTACTATTAGATCACCAACAATCGATTCAAACTCTGAATCATTAGCAACTCCTAAAAGAGGAAGAGGACGTCCACCTAAATCAGCCTCTAAAAAATCGGAAACAGAGTCAAGTGATGAAGAAGATGAAGAAGGCGAAGATGACATGAGTAGCAAAAATGAGGATAAAAATGATGACGATAACGCAAGTAAAACTGGCAGCGAGATTAGATTGAGGAGAAGAGATAAAATTAAAACCACTGCACGTTATTCACCGGAGCTTGTTGAACCTACAAGAAGACCTAGAGGTCGACCCAGTAGCTCTTTTCCAAGTACTGCTTCTAGCTCAACTAGATACATTTCACTTGATAGCGATGACGACCTGGATCTCAGTAGCAGCATGAAACGTCGTAAATTTGAAATCTCGCCTAGTAAAAGAGAGGTTAAATCTTACATTGTTGACGTGAAAAAAGACGAGGATAGTAATAAAATGGTCATTATGCTTCCTGATGGTACTACTTATAAAGTTGACGCAACCCCCGGAATTTATGGCTCTAAAAGGACTCTCAAAGCAAATCGACGGGTTTCTGATGAGGAAATGGATGAAGATTATGAAGATGATGGAGCCATTGTTGACGAAACTGATGAAGATTTTCGACCTCCATTTATGCCTCGTGGTAAGCGAATGGCATCTAGGACAGCGACAATGGTCAAAATTGATAAAAACGAAATTCCTGGGCGATCCTCAGCTCTATTAGCTTCTAAAATACCTCGAGCTTCTGGTATTAGCTCTAAACAAATTGCTAGAGTGCGAGCTCCTGGTGATTCAACTCCGGCACCGAAAATTCTATTCCAACCAAAAGTTACCAATCCTACTGATGGGTCTAAAATAACTAAGATTACCGCGCCCAGTCCAGCTGGTAAAGCAAAAGTTACTTTCATTACAACGCCTAAAACAGTGACTCTTACTGCAACCAATACTTCGTTTAAACAGCCACCGAAACGTAATTATGGCTCAGCAGCTAAATTTATTGATGAACTACCTGAGATAAGTGAATGCACATCTGAGGAAATTGACACCAGTTTATCTAAGTTACCTGATAAAATTCTGTTCATCAATTCAGATTTACCACTCTCGAATAGCTTGACAACAGAAGATGAGAAAAAACTTTACTTATTCCGACAAGTTATGTCTCCTGTTATGAATAATTATCCATGTCTTCTTTGTCATGGTACCAAATCTGCTTTCAAAGAAGAGAAAGATTTGTCTCATCATTACTCTTCGCACCATGAGTTGACCATTGATCATACAACAGCCAAATTTTCTGAGGACATCGTTTTTGTTTGTCTACCTAAGTCAATCATCACCCAAATTGAGGAAAACGATAGCGAAAGTGTAATTTTGAATGCTCCTTGTCAATATTGTGGGGAAGAAGTTAAATTAATGACAATTGACGATATGAGAACACATTATGCTGATGTCCATGCAAAAGAAATCAAACTCATTGAACAGGAAGAAATTTTAGCCATGCACAAGTTACTCTACTGTTCTTTATGTGACAAAAAATCAAATGATTTTGTTAGTCATCATGCCCATATGAAAAAAGAGCATAAATTGCATACTTTTATTTGCAAGTGCTGTGTCTTTACCACTCAAGATGCGTCTCGATTGAAAACTCATTTTCGTGCTAAACACATGATCAGCAACAATAGAGTTCAAAATCTCCAATGCACTTATTGTAGTGGTCTAATCTATGGAATTGAAAGAATGAATAAGCACATAATGGTAACTCATTGTGTACAAACAGGAGCTAATGAATTCTCGTGTACTGCCTGTCTTCAACGTTGTGGCAAAGCTGATGAACTTTTGAGTCACTCATATCGATGTCCAGTTTTAACTATGGGATCAACACCAAAAGAAATTGAAGAGACAAATGTACGAATTGAACCAAGAGTGAAAAATGCTACTAAATGCTTCCTCTGTGACAAAGTTTTTGAATCAGCTGAAATGTGTGATCTTCATCTCAATCATGTTCACACCAAATGGTCTGTTCGTAATGTTATTCATGATACTTTCCTTATGGTTAGTCATCCGAATGGTAAAACAGACCTCATGCCATCTACCTCGAGCGGAGAGGAAGTTTCTTCCCTTAAATTAGTTGATTTGCCGCCCATGAAAGTTTTGGATGAAATTGGATGCAAAAAGAATTATGGACATTATTGTTTTAAGTGTGAAAGTATCATCAAAATTTATCCATTATATTATCTTCACATGTCCAACGTTCACAAAATGGAGAAAGTTTTTGAGTGTAAAATATCTTCCTGCAAACAAACATTTAAGAAAGCTAAAGGTCTTGAAGATCATATCAAACAAACTAAGCATCCACAAAAATCAGTTATCGAGGATCCACTGGGAGCTATTGCTTGTCATTTCTGTAATCTTTACTTCGTTGGCGATGATGAGCTACAAGAACACTTGTTGTCGGAAGATCATTATAAAAAGATTAATACATTAATGGATAAATCGGGTAACAAGCCCGAGCCGAGAAATTATAAGTGTAAAACTTGTCATACATGGTTCGGTCTTGCTGATTCTTATATCTACCATTTGGAAACAGAAAGTCACAAGCATGGCTGTGTTTATTGTGGTCTTCATTTTGCTTTACCATCTTCCCGACGAACTCACATTCAGAGTCATCATAGTGAAAAATCGGACATTTGTGAAATTTGTAATGTTAAACAAGGATCCAAAGAAAGACTTTTTGCTCATCTTGTTGAACATAATATTGTCTTTGAGTGCAACAAATGCATGAGAAAGTTTTACCAACGAGAACAACTTAACGCCCATATGGAAACTCACGGAGATTCTCGCGATTGCCCTTGGGATGGATGTGAGCGAAAAATAACACGTTCCAACTTGACTACTCACATTAGACAACATAGAATTGAAAATGAATCGAAATGTAACATATGTGGAAAAGGTAATATAAAGCATTTTATTTATATCATGATTTAAAATCTAATTGAACTATTTTTCTCTATTCTTTTAACAGGATTTTCTTCTAGACAAGTTTTACAAACGCATATGGAAATACATGCTAAAGCTGAATCTAATGCTAAAGCTATTCTTCAAGCTGTACCTAATAATAATCAACAAAAGAAATCTTCATTATCCAGTTCTTCTGCTCCAGGAACGACACTCATCAGTATAACAACCCCTCCTTCCAGCTTAACTTCAATCAAACAAAGATCACCGATAAAGGGAAGGACACCTAAAGCACCAGTTAATAAAGTTTCTACTTTCTCTACCAACCGCAACTCAAATGGCATTCCCACTGGTCTTAAAATCATGTGTTGTAGCTGTAATCAATCATTTAATTCTCATAATGAATTATCTAAGCACAAATGTGTTGTACCTGTGGTTACTATTACCGGAACCAAGTCAGATGCAAACGAAATACATTTAGATCAAATTTCTGTCAATGATATGCTTTCATCGCCCATTTTAATCACCCAGAGTGATAAATTTCAACTTCCCCTTTCAACTAAAGATGAAACAACAAGTGACAATTTAGAAGAGGATCCACAAAAATTAGTTTTGGATATCGCTGAGCAAGTGGCTCAATCAGTACAAGAAGAAGAAGCTGAAAAACTGAAGCAAAAACAGCTTAAAAGAGTAGAACAATTGTTGCAACAATCATCATCATCCCCATCAACTTCGTCATCCATAACATCATCAACTTCGTCATCTTTATCATCACATTTTCAACTAAAACAACATCATTCAGAACCAAAGAAATCCTTGGGTCTGGGTACTAAACCATCAGTCACATCAACTGTTTCAACACCAATTGCTTCAGCATCTTCAACCTCTATAACATCATCTATAACACCTTCACTGGGTTCAATGCAATCTCGAGCCAGGCGAACATATTCATCTTTAAAATCAAGTCAATTGACCAATTCAAATTCAGGAGCAGAAAATCAAATTGACGAGACTAAAAAGTCTCTCAAAAAGGATGATATTGTTACAAGCAGTAAAAGCAACAATAACAATTCACTCATCCTTTCGGAAGTCAATGAGGCTGCTAATAACATAAATAACAACAGCATGATTGAGATACCCGTAATAGAAGGAGATAATCCCAATCCAGGAGATCAATACATTATGCTTCAACAACCCGACGGTCAATATGTTCAGATATGTGTCCCGGAAGGAGTGGACATTGAAGAGGTTGTAAGAAGCTTGAATATAACGTTCGCAGATAATCCTGAAGCCACAAATGAACTATTATCTTCAGCTTCATCGACAATTAATGCTGCTGATCCTTTGGAGCAAAGTATGCAAGAAGTAACTGATCAAAGTGGATTAACTTCCGCTGACCAAGCAACAGTTGAAGTTGAAGGTATGGATGATCAGCAAGTAATATACTTACCTGTCAACGAAGATGGAACCTGTGCCATTGATCCAGCAGCTTTGGCCATGTTAACAGGAAACGGAGAAGTCCCAATAATCGTAACATCAGGCAATTGAAGCAAGTCAGCATTGATAGACGAAGCAACCAGTTTCTAAATTAAAAAAGTTTATCATTTATCTCTTCTCTCATTAAATCTCTTGCCTTCATCAACGAGTATAAAGTTACAATTTGAAGAAAAATTCATCCATCTCTAAATTTCTATTTCCTCAGTTTTGCACATCTCATTCTTCAAATCTTCAGTGATGATCAATGAACTAATTATTTAAAAGAAAGAATGAAGCCAAGTGACAACCAAGCCTATGAACCCAGTCCTTATCCAACAAGATCTTTTGCTTTCCCGATAATTCTTCTTGCGATCCTTACTCTGACGATTCGCCCTTCTCTACCAATACCCAGCCTTTAGATCACCCTCTGTCTCTAACTTTAATCTCTTCAAACATTTCTCAATATTAACAAAAAACAATTCATCATCATAAATTCATCTCATTTTCATTGGAAACTTCCCGGATGAGAAAAACAAAAACCTCTTAAAACAAACCAAGTGAAATGGTAAAAAGTTGTGTAATGAGCAAGTGAAAACACGGAAAAAGAATACTTTAGTGACTTTATTCAAATATTTACCTCTCAAATATCGTGAACCGAGCGATCCCGAAGCATGCCAACTATTTGGTCGCATTTTTGATTGCAATTAATACAATGACTCTTCTAATTGGCCCACAATTGAAAATTACAGCGGATGGTACAAAAAATGGATTATTTCTCCTCGCAACTTAAGCAGCGAAAAAGCTTCTTCCCTACCCATTAATATTGACAATAATTAATAAACTGATAATAATGCTACTATCGATACTTTGAGAGATCAAATATAAAATTAAAAGCTCATTGAAAATTAAAAGCAGCTTGAAAGTGCAAGTTACTTTTACTTTTCCAAAAATGATTAACTTCTTTTCCTCTTTTCCTCTTTTCTCTTTTTTTTGCTTACAATCTTTTTTTCTTTTGATCCATTATAGTAACATTAAATTTCTTTGTTTCATTATATAAATTAATCAATTTTTTTAATTGCTCAAGGATTGAGTTTCTCTCCATTCGCGTAAATTGATTAAATTTAAGTGGTTAGGTGAACAATAGATGGCACTCTGTCCGCCAGAAAATTTATCAATTGAGATAATGCAGAATCTAGTCAACAGCGTGTTTGAATTGAGTGATTTTTTTCTAGCAAATTTCATATTTTTTAGGTGAATTTTACATTCGGTTATCGTCAAATTCTGTCGATGTTTTTAAAACGAATGGCCTGATTAACTTCAATCAGCTTGGCTTGTCAATTTAAGAATTGCAAGTGAAGTTTGCCTTGTTCTTTTTCCTTCTTTTCAAAAAGGAAAATATTGGTAATTTGTTCATTTAAATCGCTGTTTTCTTTCGTTATCGTCACTTATCTCATTAGTGGACTGACATGTTACGTGAAGGACTGAGGAGATCTATACGTATACTTGATCCATTAGTAAACTTACATCGATATAGTCCAAATTTGCGTCAAGTGAAATGCAATTTTCATACCTCAACATCTTATTGTGCTCGTAAAAATTATTATGAGCTCCTTGGTGTTTCTAGGAATGCTAGTCAAAAGGATATAAAGAAAGCTTACTATCAATTGGCCAAAAAGTATCATCCAGATTCGAACAAAGGTGATCCAGAATCAGCTAAGAAATTCCAAGAAGTTTCCGAGGCATATGAAGTGCTTTCTGATGATACAAAGAGACGTGAATATGATCAATTTGGCTCTGCAGGGGCAAATAATTTTGCCGGTAGCGGTGCAGGAACGTCTGGTTTTCAAGGTTTCAATTCCTCTATTGACCCAGAGGAACTTTTCAGAAAAATATTTGGAGAATATAATTGGAATGCATATAATCAACGCACTGGTCAAGATTATGAATTTTCTGAAACTGATTTTGGTTTTGGAGCTGCTCAAGAGGTTATTTTGAATTTAACATTTAGAGAAGCAGCCAGAGGCTGTGATAAACAAGTTAAAATTAATATTTTAGATACTTGTCCTACTTGTTCAGGTAAGACATTATTAAACTCAAAATTATATAACTTAAAAACTATCATCAACGCACGATGCGATCAGTAGTAATACTTGACTGATTTTTACTATTTTTTATTATTTATTTATCGTAATTAGGATCCCGCTGTGCTGAAGGTCATAAACCTATCCGATGTCCTTATTGTAATGGCACTGGAATGGAAACAATTAGCACTGGTCCTTTTGTAATGAGATCAACATGTAGGATGTGTCATGGTACTAGGTTATACATTCAAAATCCCTGCACTAAGTGTGAAGGTAAAGGAAGCACACTTCAACGTCGAACGGTTGATATACCAGTTCCAGCGGGTGTTGAAGATGGTCAAACATTGCGAATGCAAGTTGGAAATAAAGAATTGTTTATCACATTCAAAGTGGCAAAAAGTGATTATTTTAGAAGAGAAGGTGCTGATGTCCATACTGATGCAACTATTAGTTTATCTCAGGCTGTTTTAGGAGGTACAATTAGAATAGAAGGTATCTATGAAGATTTAACTATCAAAGTACCTTCTGGAACATCATCACATACTAGATTAAGATTAGCAAATAAAGGTTTAAAAAGGATCAATAGTTATGGTAATGGTGATCATTATGTACATTTCAAAATTAAGATACCATCGTAAGTTTCATTTGTCTTTATTTTCTTTAAATCTCATAATTATTCAACTATTTAATCATCATTTTCTTTCTTTTTTTTCTTCATCGGCACAATCTTGGTGGCTCCTGCTTTTCACAGTAAATTGTCTTCAAAACAAAAATCATTGATGATAGATTATGCCAAAACAGAGGAGGAAACACCAGGTTCTATCGAAGGCTTGGGAGCTTGAAAATTGCTAGTGTTATATGTTCATATTATTACCTTCATTGAGAGACTTCGTATATTTAAATAACTAAATATATATATATGTATCATGTCTTCAATTTATACAAATCATTGTCTAAATTAGTAACTAAAAAACAAAGATTTAAGTTAAAGTTAATAGTTTCACTTTACAAGCAAAAAGATTGTTTCTATTTTATTTCACATTAATTACTTCCTTCGAGTTTTGCCAAACTGACGGTTCTACATTACTATTGATAATCAGTACTTTATATTGAAAAATATATTCAATTAAATTATCCGCTGATGATAGAGATCATTGTAACCATAGTTACACAGTAAACAACATGTGTTACTGTTTTTGTTGAACATTGAATTGAACTGTCAATTTGATCATTAATTAATTTTCTTATACTTATAAATATACTGTTTTAAGGTCAACCTTACTAATAAAAAGTTTTTTGCATTTACAAGACCATTCTTTGTTTTGTTATAATTTGTTTTACATACAGATGTAGCTGTGATTTTACAATTTTCAATTTAAAGATTTGTGCCATTACATATTAAATGTTGGATATGCATCTTAATTAGTGTAATTTGTGCAATTGTTTTGTTCATCGTCTGTATCAGTGAATTATTTCAAAGTCATGCCACGAGATGGATCATCATCTTCAAAAAATTACAGTAAAAAGCATCACCAATCGTCAAGTTCATTCAGATATGAAGACCACAAACCATCTTTAAACCGAATGTTTTTCGGCCCTCGAGAAAAAATCTCGGTCGGAACTAAAGAGTATAATGACTTTTGGTTATTTTTGTCCAAATATTTACAAACACTGAACTCTGGAAAATCTCATGGTAACAATGCGGCCATCATTGAAAGGATGAAGGAAACGGTTGAAGCAGACTGGATGGACATTGATTACGTTATGAGATGTAAAGGAGCTCTCTTTAAAGATGATGAATATTACAGTCAGAATTCATTAACCAAGGAAAGGGTGAGTCAATTCAGAGATATTCTACTTTTATATCTCAATTTTTTAGAGAAAAAAAGACTCAAATTGCTTGAGAAATTAAAGCAGGACAAAGAAAATCTCCCAATTTTCAAATACAAACAAAATATACTGGACGCCTTAAAAACACACTCTGTGATATTAATTGCAGGTAATTTAATCTCTTTTACTTCAAAGTTAATTTCATTTTATATCAAATAAAAAAAGCAAAGAATCACCCAAATTGTAGAAGCTTAAAAAACGACTTTCTGTGTTTCCTATGAAATGTATCATCTTTTCAATCTCAATGAGGCCTAAAGATTGTATTTCGAGCAATTTGCACGGGAAAAAATATAACAAAAGACCAATGTTCCTAATTCATGACAATTTATCTTGTTAAATTGTTCAAATTATCTAAAGAAAGGTGATCATTTTTTTCAACATATCTCATTCAATATTTTACATACATTAGCCTTGCTTTTCACTTTTTGTTCATTGATCTCTATCTTAGCCATTAACTATGATTAAGTAGCGATGATGATGCAAATTAATTATGATAGCACCAGAGGTCGACTTGTTGCCAAAATTACAATTTGGTCCATGAATAACTCTATACACGAAGAGGAAAGGCAAAAAACAAAAATTCAGAGTTGACTCTATATCCATGATTATCATCATCAAGGAATCCTTTTCAGTAGTCAATGATAATACTTTTTGTGCGTAACTTTTTTTCCCTTTTCTTCTGTTCCTAATCGACTTTGACGATATCAGTTGAAGATTGACAGTCCACCCATCATTTCATCTTTTCCTAATTAAGAAACCACAAAATAGTATTCCATCTGTAATCGTCTACAAAATAAATGTTCAACAATAAAACGCGTAAAGTAAACTCAAAGGATTGAAGCAAAAAATGAGACAAAAATAATGGCTAATGTTTTTGCTTTACATTTTTCAATCAATACAATCAACCAAGCATAGTTTTTAATGATACATATTATTCAACATTTTATATTGTTCCGTTGTTAATAATGATGTCTAATTAGTTAACCTGACACTAATCAAATGAGGAGAAAAAAGTAAATTAACAAAAAAAGCGAGACAGACTTTCAAATGTCTATCAATGTAACAACAGAATGTAGAGTTTGACATTTTAAGCTAATTAATTTCCATTTAATAATCAGTCAAGATTGAAGTGATTAGCTAATAAGCAATTAATCAAGATATTTTGTTAATTTTGAAGGATATCAATATAATTAGATTACAAAAGGCCTCAATTTTTAAGTCAAGATACATTGAAACTTCAAGAACCAATTTTTTCTAAATTCATCTCAAGTTGAAATCGCTCAATATTTCAATCATAATTCATCATTTGATAAATTGCTGTTAATTGTTCATGATTATGTTTAAAATTTTCAGGTGACACTGGATGTGGTAAATCAACTCAAGTACCTCAATATTTACTAGAAGCTGGTTATACCAATATTGTGTGTACTCAACCTCGCCGGATCGCTTGTATTTCCTTGTGTAAACGCGTTTCTCAAGAAACTGCCGACACTTTTGGATCATTAATTGGTTATCAGATACGATTTGAAAAACATCGAACTCAAGAGACTCGAATTTTATTCATAACTGAAGGTTTAATGCTTCGTCAAGTAACTTCAGATCCACTTTTATCCAATTACAATGTAATCATTTTAGATGAAGTCCATGAGCGTCACCTAACTGTTGACTTTTTACTTGGCCTAATGAAATGTCTTCTCCTTCAACGGCCCAATGATTTGAAATTAATCTTAATGTCAGCAACAATCAATGTACAGCTTTTTTCTCAATATTTTGGTCTCTGTCCAATAATTGAAGTGTCCGGTCGTCTTTATCCCATCCAATTGTATTATCAACCAGTTTCTGAGCAATCATACAAACGCGGCACTCGAATCAATCCCGAACCTTATCTGCGTCTATTGAAAATGATTGATGACAAATATCCATCCAATGAACGTGGAGACGTCCTGATATTTCTGAGTGGCTTGACCGAGATAAATACCGTTGCTGAACACTGTAAACCGTATGCGGCTGAATCACGTCGATGGATAATATTATCACTTCACTCATCTCTGTCCATTGAGGAACAAGATCGAGTTTTTGACATTCCCCCAGAAGGTGTTCGTAAAGCAATACTGTCAACTAACATTGCCGAAACTTCTGTCACCATTGATGGAGTTCGCTTTGTAATTGATTCAGGCAAAGTAAAAGAGATGTCCTTTGATCCTGCTATTCGTATGGCTCGATTACAAGAGTTTTGGATTAGCAAGGCTTCAGCTGAACAACGCAAAGGTCGAGCTGGAAGGACTGGGCCAGGAGTCTGTTATCGACTTTACTCGTCAGCTTCCTTTGAAGAAATGCCTTCATATTCAACACCCGAGATTCATCGAGTTCCTCTCGACTGTTTATTGCTTCGAATGATTGAAATGGGCCTTCCAGATGTAACTAAATTTCCTTTCCTTGAACCTCCAAGTGAATCGTCCATTGATCAAGCTTTAATCAGTCTGAAGGAGAATGGTGCTTTAACAGATACAAATGACGAGGAAGGAGTTAGCATTACTTCAATGGGTCGGATGTTGGCCAAGCTTCCTGTTGAGATTGTTATTGGTAAAATGCTTATTTTAGGTTCCATGTTTAATCTAGTTGAACCAATTATATCATTAGGAGCCTGTCTTTCAGTTCAATCACCATTAACTCAAAAAAGTTATTCCCATATTGACTGTATTGAGGCACGAAGAGGACTTGAATGTTCACAAGGTGATCCTTTTTTGCTACTCAGAGCTTACAATGAATGGTTAACAATTAAAAGCTCTGGATCAGAGGATTCAAGGAAATGGTGTAAGAGAAGAGGCTTTGAAGAGCAGCGATTTTACGAGATTACCAAATTGAGGAAACAATTTCGAGATATTATCAAAGAGTCAGGTCTTTATTTCATTGATAGTTCAGGATGTGCCGATGAATTGTCAATGAAAGGACAGAGAACAGCAGCGGAAAGAATCAAGCGACACGGTGAATTAAGACAGTTAAGGTCGTTGAAAAGGCAACTTGAATCTGCAGGACCAAAGAAACGTAAAATGTTGAAAATAAATTTTGATGGAGAGCTTGAAGATGATCACGATGAAACAATGGAAGATTATGATCTTAAAGAGATTGATTTCAGATTATCATATAATGATCGCCAAATTGAGGTAAGTTATCAATTAATATGTCTTTATAAATGAAATGAAATCATTTGCATGTTTGTCAATGATAAAAAGCAATAGATTTAGATTGAGCTCAATATAAACAATTTGAATCACGTTCATATTTTTAAAAATTTATTCAATGGCAAAATTGAAACGACAACTTCAATAATCAAATTCACCAAGCTATGGATCTATATTGAATTTTATTTTCATTTACTTTTCAGGCTTTAAAAAGTTCCAGTAAAGCTTTCAAAGGAAAAGACATGATTTTGATGAAAGTTATACTCTCCAGTGGATTGTATCCACAATTAGCGCTTCCAGATGAGCACAATTCATTCAAGAAAGATTCCGATCAGCTTTTCCATACAAAGGTGAGTAAAATAATGGATCAGTTGAACAGAGTTGAAATACAGGAAAAAGCAAGTCTCTTCATCCAATCCAGTTTTTTCAAGATGATGAGGAAAAGTGAAAGTATATCCTATATCTAAGCCCATTTTGATCATCTTTGAGTATAATAAGAGCAACAAAAAAGGCAAACCTATACAATGTACATCACTTATACAGAGTGTTTCACAAGTCACATCATGGATAAAATTAAGCATAAGGACTCACAGTTACGGCTAAAATGTTATACAAATTGAAAGTGACAAACCATTGACAATGGGTAAGATAACGAGACAACTGGGATAACAATGTTAACACTACAAATTGGACACAATTAAGACAGCACAGCTAAAAAATTCAGATACAAATTAAAATTGTTATATAATTGGTGGACAAAATGACTTGGCCTAAAGGCATCATTTTATTAGTTAACAAATTTACAATCCAAATGCCAAGCTCCAATTTTATGTGCTTAACAAACGATTTGTTCAATGAAGCGACTGAAAAATGTGCACTGATTTGCATTAGTGAAAATATTAAATCATTCACTAAATCAAAACAATTGTAGATGATTGCACTTAGGCAAGAGTTGAGCTATCAGATTAAAACGTTAAAAAACTGAATGAAATTCAGAAAAGTCATCTAAATTGATTCCGAGTTCAGTGTAAATATCTTAAGATTTTAGGAAAATGATGTGAGTTTGGATCGAAAATTAAATGAGTAAAAATGGACAGAAATTCTGATCCAGAATATGATAGTTTCGCAGCAATTTAATCAAACACAACTCTAGATGAAGCAATGTTTGACTTGGAATGAGTTTTCAATCAATAAAATGAAAAATTTTAATCATCTCTTAAGAAATCGTTTTAATTGAGCCTAATTTTTCTGAACACTTGAGTAGTTAATCCGTAAGTAGACATTAGAGGAAATATTGAAACTCAACAATTTTATTTTGCACAGAAAAATTGTCAATTTAATTGTTAAACATGAATGATAACTTTCAACTGTTACACTAATGATAATACACTTTACAATTTGTTTACTTTCTTCTTTACTCAATAGCTAAAAGTAGAGCAAATTTAGTGAAAATAACTGTATTTCTCATCGTTCAAGTGTCTTCACGCTTTATTATTTACACCAAAACTTAAACTTGATTGTGTTGGTATTATTTCATGTATTTGTGGTATTGTGTGTTTAACTTGTTCCTCTTTTTATGTTTGCATTGGGAAAATTGAAAAGGTCAGTTGATTGAACAGGAAAACCTAAGATTGGTCAAGATGAACAGTAACTGGAGATTGTAACAAAAAAAGATGTAAAGAAAAGTGAAATGTTTTATTCAGTGAAGGGGAAGAAAATACATTTTTTTTAAAGAAATATCCGGATGGTGGTTATGCATAGGAATAATCACATAATCATCTCTTTCAACTTCAACTTGATCTTCTTCCTTCTCCTCTTCATAATCATCATCATCACCAATAACAAAGAAATCGTTGCTTTTTATATCAAACATTTTTCTTTTCCCTCTTTTTTGCCTTACAAGATGACCCAATGGTCAGAAGATCTTCACGTCTTTTTTTGCTTTGTTGTTGGTTATTGTTACTTAATGTTAACTCTTGACAGAGACATTTTCATAAAAAAATATGATAAACTCTTTTCCTTTTCTTACCAATTTATCATCAACCTGATTATAATAATGGTTAATATTATTCCCAAGTTAATTTTATTTTACATTCAACTCAGAGCTTACCAAGACTGGAAGGCTTCAGAGTGTAACTCTCAAGTTATCATGAAAGGCATAGTTATTATCATCATCAATCCATCTTATTTGCTTCATGCTTTTTGACAAAAACATGAATAATCATTGACCTTTATTATTATCTTGCCTTATTCACTGTCCCCTTTCAATAGTCCCTGAATGATTTACAAGTGACTCAAATACTTGATAAAATACGCACAAATATACAAAACCCATCATATCATTAACTGATAAACTAATTTTTATTCATTTTTCATTTGTTAATAGGGTAAACCATTTGTGGTCCTCCATCCAAATAGTGTCTACGCCTTGGATCCGGATTTGCTTCGTCTGAATGATAGATCAGCATCAACCAAGGAAAAGGGAATTGAAAGCTGTAAACATTGTCTTTTGGCTTACCTTTTGCTACTGGAAACAACCAAACCTTACTTGGTTAACTGCCTAAAGGTTCCAGCCTTACACACATTGCTACTTTTTGCCAACTCAATTGATACTAATTCAGATTTAACAAGGTATTTCAAACCTGATCCTGTTCAGATTATAGTCGATGGTTAAAGCTGATAAAGTCAACATTTCAACTTTTCATCGTCACTCGTAAAGAAGAAATGATTGATTCGTTAACTAGCCATTGACTATAATAGTAAATCATTTGTAAATAATATTTCCTTCTCTCATTTCCTTTTCTCTTTCATTCTCATCCATTCATTACTCACATTATCATCTTATTAGACTTGTTTTCGACAAATGGATTGAGGTACGTTTATCGCCCAACAGTTTTCCTGAAAATTTTTTATCAACTTCTATTCAAGTTCGTGATTTATGGCTAAATCTTTTAACAAAAGTATTTCAGGGTAAGTTTATCATTATCATTATAACCACCATAATCATCATCAGTAGCTTTACTTTTTTTTAACTTTTTTTTCATTTAACTAACCTATCAACACTTTCAATCTTATTCAATTGTGTACAAGTTTTTTTACTTTCTCCTTCCCTGTTACACTTTTCACCATTAATATTATTTTTTTAATGTTATTTCTTTAATTTTCTTCCCTCTTTATGGTTAATGCTGATATCAAACAAAATGCTGAAATAATCCACAGAATCATTAGATCAAGAAGCTAATGATGAAGATACAAATGATACTTTTGCTGGTAAAGAGTTTAGCCCGGAAATATTACAAATGAAACATAGACTGAACAAGATTATCGATCAATTTTTATCAACTGAGATTCCGTTTACAATTAAAAGACTTGTAGCTGCCGATGTAACCAATTTATACAAAAAATGTGAACAAGAATCAAAGGATAAATCAGGCGAAAAGGTTGACGAAACAATCAAAGTGAAAAAGGAGACCAAAAAGATTGAACCAAAGGTTGAAATAAAGTCGGAAAAAATTGATAAATTATTGGATAGCAATGCAATCATTTCAGATAAAGGAGGAATAAAAGTAAATCACTATTTAACATACAATTGGTAAGTTGGTAAACACACAAACAAATAGCATACAAATGATCATCAATCAATAAATAGTAAAGTTATTTATTATGTAAAAAGATTGATTGAGAGTTTATGATTTTATAACCTTTTCTTGTGTACTTTTACATTATTTTTACTCTATTATTTCCATGATAATCATGATAAAGAAGTAATTCACATGTAATCTCTAACCCGTTAATCTTTTAAAGACTCTTGTGTCAATATAATCAACACCAACAACTCTTACAATCAATCCTTTTATAAAACTTTGCTATAAACATAACCCCTTAAGATAACAGTTTATGTAAAGTGACTTTTAAATGTTAAACGTTTTTTTTAATATTTACACTTTTTCTCATTCTTTAATCCACTCTTCACCCTTTCACACTCCATCATGATAATAATCATTATAACCTCATCTTTACACATTATAAATAATTGAATTTGCTTTTGGCAAAACTGTAAATAACATTTTTCTAACCATGTTTTACAAACTCTTTTTTTTGTCTCTCTTTTCAGTCTATCCGATAATGACATTTCCAAGGATTGTTACATTAAAAAGACTTGGCAATGTTTAAATTGTAATAAAGAAATGGTAACAACTCTATTAGATGAGATTCGTCATAAAGAGAAATGTTTTTCTTCCAATATCGCCTCAAGCAGTGGAATGATTCAACAGCAAGATGATTGCTCATCAAGTGGAACCTCAATCTCAACTAAATCATCAAAAGATCCACTGGCAAAGAAATATTCATGCGAATTGTGTCAGCAAACATTATATTTATCATCCATTGATATAGTTAAACACATTCGAAGCCACAAAGTCAATTAAGGAAAACAAAGGAAAATGTTTAATTTACATTATCACCATCATTCCCATAACTGATTTACATTGTAATCAAGTTGTATTTTTTGCTCATCTTTTAAGTCAAACATTTAGCAACTATTTTCATAACCCATGGCTTCTATGTAATTGATTGTAATATTGATTTGTAAAACCTTGTTATTACGATTAACTGTAAACTACATTTTAAATGTTAATGTTAATCATTGTAACAAGAACAAAATTAATCTTGTAATTTGTATGTAATATAAGATTCGCCTTTCCATACCATTGTTGTCAGTTTGAAACAAGAGTATAAGTGATAATACACAAATCACTTTTATTATAATGAAAATCCAGAAAGGACAAAAGCAAGGATCCCTCGAGAGCTTTTATTGAGCTCTTCTGCATCTTTATATTCATCATCCTCATCTTCATCTTCAACCTTCATCTCGCTGATACTGGGGAAAAAATTATCATCCAAAAAAGAGTCTGTAATAGGAATTTGATGATAATAATATCGGAAACATTTTTATTAATATTAATTTGTATACACAGCCATATGTCGATTATTGCCTTTACACACAATTTTTACTTGTTTTATTGTGGTTACAATTTTAAGTATTGGTAAAAATAATAGTGACAAAAGATGCTTGTCTTCCCTCTCTACGGGCCAAAACCACTGCTACTTCTGTTGCTGCTGTTTTCACCTTCACCTTTGTTACCTTTCAACTGTGTAAAGTGAAGTGGTTGAGGGTGGTTTTTTTTGTGCTCTCGTAATACCTCCCAGTGACTAGGGAATAGCAGGAGATCAGCATCAATAACACTACACCAATAGACACATGAATGGTAAACTTAAAAGATGACTCTTTATTCCAGTTTCACGGCCAATAAACATGGTTTTGTATTTCTCTTTTCACTTTCGCCATTTTCATTATTACATTCATCAATTGTTATCCTTTAATCAATCAACCATAACAAGTTAATCATAAAAATGTTTACCATTATGATGATCATATTTAATCAAATAAATTCACTTGACTCACAATTAGTCTCCAATTCAGTCTTTTAATCTGTACAATTTTTTGCCTCAATTTTAACCCAAACTGTTTCTTACCTTACAAGCCAAATTCATTTGGTTACATCTGTTATATTTTTTTCATTTTTCTCTCTATATTTTAACTATTATATCAAGTTGCATGATTTGATAAGTTAATGATAACAATAGAGACACTAATCAACATTTTTCACTGTAAATCAAGTTGAACAATATCAATGTACAAGTAAAATTCACAATAAAAAACTACTCCTTGAAACTTAAACCTGAAATTTCAAACTACAGTTTTATTCAATAGTTTCTTTGTATTCAATCTATTCAGCTAACTTAGTTAAATTATTTTGATCGTTAATTCTATTTATTGATATAAATTTAATTCCAATCGGAATGAAAAACTCGTATTATAACAAATAAAATGGTGAACAAATTGTAATATCCAATAATGTATCTAAATGACATGATTATGTTAGCTTTAACATCAAGTGTAAAGACTAAGAGTAAATGTAATGATGGATAATAATAAAAATAATAATGGTGATGATGAATTTATATGAATAATAAGATGAAGTTATGAATAAAAACTAGAATAATGTAAAAACTGTTATGAATGATGGATAAACTTAAAGAAAAGACAAGAAGAAATGATGATGATGATGTTTATGATGAGCCACAGTAGACAAAAAAGCATAACAAGATTTACATTATTGTTTGAATTGTTGGAAGCATGAAATTTATTCCAAATGCAGTTACAAATGTCGATCATATTATTGTGTATAAAAATGTTGATTATGATTTTGATTATGATAATAATTTGTTCAAAAGACACAATAAACTGGATAAAGAGTAACTCATTAGACATAAAATATTTGATCATCAAAGTAAAGGCTTCAAAATAAGATAACAAGATGGCGATGTCCGCACAGATTAGCGGGAATCTTAAATCGTGGGAAAAAAGGGAAAGTAAAAATCGGCAAAAAAAATGATCAGAATCTGAATTATTATCGTTATAACCGACAGGGTGAAACTAATTTCTAGTTTAACAGCAACTTTAACATTATAAATGTAACAAGACGTGAAGGAAAGGAGGAAAGAGTGGGAATGATATGGAGTGTGATGTGATTAAGATGATTGGATCAAGTGAACAAAATTGGTTAAGCTTTACGATCAAATCTTATTTAAACTGATTTACATTGCTTTAAGCAAGGGATGGAAAGATGGAAGATAAAATGATGATAAAAGAAGATTTGATAGAAGATAATTTGATCATGGATGTAATTGTTTTGGCCTTACACTTTGCTTCAATCACTTTTATCCTCTCAGGATGATCCAGAGACTTAGCTCGATATCCATTTGTTTGATGGTTCACTGAACATTTCTTACACTTTCCCATTTCATGTTTTTTTATCACCATAACCATCACCATAATCACAATCATAATCATAAACATAATCACAGTTATAATCAAGATCACCACTGAAAAGAAGAGCTTTCCTTTATAGAAACGTTCCGCATTAACATGTTTATATTAATATTAGCTTTTAGGTTATCATCTTTCCTCCTCAACTTAATATTTATCAAATAATTAAATTGTATCTTTTCGAATATTAAGTGGATAAATAACCAGAATAAAATATCTTAACCTTCGGTGATATAAATTTACAATTTACAATAAATAATGTACATTAAACACTTGTCCAATTCAAGCTGAGCGCTCAATTGTTGTTGTTGCTTATAATGCGTCTTAAGCTATTTTTTACTCTATTTTTGATTCATTACCAAGAAGTGCTTATTCATTACATTGACCTCGGATTGATTATAATTATTCAGTAGATTAAAGTGAATTTACTTTTTATCCGAGAACATGGAAGTTTCCAAGAGGAAGCAACCAAATTGATCTTCAAGTGAAACAGTCTTTCTGATTGGTTGAGATGTTTGCTTGGTCTTGGCAAGAAATGAGCAACTCAACTGTTTTGATGCATCCAGACGAAATCTTGAAGAATCTATCATGAAGGCGAAAAGATGAATACGAGGATGTTTATATTATTATGATTTTGGGTAAGTAGAAACAGAGAAGAAATCTCATCCATTGTAATATTGAAGATTCAATGCAATGGAGCCTAGAAACTGCAACATTTGAATAATTAGAAATCAGTGTTTCCAATGTTTTGGTGTGTTTATCTTAGCATTGAATTTCACAATTTTATTGTTGAATAATGATGAAATGGGTTGAGTCTGATTCTGTTCACTTCAATGTTTTCACAGAGATGCTCATGACAATCATAATACAATTTGAATGTTTCTCTTTTCACGCCTTTAGATCATACCAACAGCATCTTAAGATGGATACCAACTCCTGGGACGTTTTTTCCTCCGCCTTCTTCACCTCCTCTTTTCATCATCATCTTCATTTTTATCACCTCTGCTTTCTTCATCTTCAAATCACAATCTTAACATTGTATATCTACTCAAGGATTGTTTTTTAAACATTGTGATTCTAAAATACAAAAACATATTTAATCAGGGTTGTAACCACTAATTGTTATCTCTTAATTTAAATTGATACAATTGATGAGTTTGATGAAAAGAGGATGATGGTAAAGATGATTTGGATGTGCAGTTAAATAAAGTTAAACGAGGATAGAGAAGAAGAAGAAGCTTTCAGAAGTGACAAAGTAGGAGGAGAAGGAGGAGGATTGATAAAAGTATAGATTGGAGGAGGAAGAGGAGAAAGCGAGAAAAGTGATGAGGATGGAGTATAATTGCAATAGTCCGATGAGACCATCTGTCCTAACATCATCTTCATCGCCATCAGGATCAGGATCAACAGAATCATTGGAAGCCCAGCGAGATGAATCTAGTACATTTGAAAGGCCAAATTCAGTGATTAACATTGACTCAAATATTATCAACAGTCACAATAGTAACAATAAAGACAACAATAACAACAACAATGATGGTAATATTAATGATAAAGATGATAATGGTGAAACAAGTGGCAACAGTTTGCTGACTTGTCAACAATATCAAAACACCAACGACAAAACCAACAACAATTCCGGTGGTAATGGTTTAGAATCAACTCCATTGAATGTTACATCTTTAAAAGTTGTCCAAGGAGTAACATTAAATAATGAGAATCAACCATCAACCAGTTTAAATCGTCATAAAAACCATCAACATGTACTTCGACAAACTATGGTTCGAGCTTCCCTTACCATGAAACATCATTCCCATCAACATCAACTACATCAACAGCAAAATCATCAACTATTACATTTAAATCATCATTCACTAACCAATTTTACCTCTTCACCTGCTTCAATTATTTCAAATAGTTCATCGTCTGTTGTAGCATCGCTTAATAATCTTATAATGGAGGGACTTGTTCATAGTCATGGTCATCATCACCATCACCATCATTTAATCACACCAACAGCAGGAACAACTTCTTCACTTGTGATTCCAAGTCATCATTCTCATCTCAACATTCATCCTCATTCTCATCATCATTCAATTTTAAATAATAATACAAGTTTAAATGAACCGCCAACTTGCCCATCACCGCCCTCTACTACTGATGGTGATTCATTAATTGAACCGCTTAACAGTGATGACAATACTTCGGATCGTAAATTGATTGAATTTAATGTTAATAATAATAATAATGGTAATAATGGACCTTTATCGTCGCTAACCAATTATCCTAAGTTAAACAATACTGTAGCAAACGGTAATCCATCAAATAGTGTTCATCATCATCAGCTTATCCACAGTGTAAATCATCTTACCAATAATCAAAATGGAGTATCTGCAATGTTGGTCGGTCAATCCAATGGTAACCTTGCAGATGAAAGTGAATTTTGTATCAAATCGTCATCATATCATTCATTTATAAATAATAAAAGATGTTCCTCGCCCGTTGTTGACTGTGAAAACAATTATGAGACAACAATAAAACATGAAACTGGATGTTTACCCGTTACTTCCAAGAAGATGCGTCAAGCAAAGACAGTAAGCAATACTTTTGCTTCTATGGAATCAGGAGGATCAACCAAGGTAGAAAAGTTAACAGTAAACAATTTGTTTATCTGTTTTTTCTTTCTCTTTCTTTCCTTTCCTTTTTGCTACCTTTTTTTCATCTTCTTTCTTCCCTCTTCCTTTTCCTCTTGCATCAACCTTATTCCTTTACCACTTGAACCCTTTCACTGTTGCCAAATTATAGGTCAGATTGAGTATCAATGCAAGGGAAAGAAGACGAATGCATGATCTAAACGACGCATTGGATGAACTGCGATCTGTTATTCCTTATGCTCATTCACCTTCTGTTAGGAAATTATCGAAAATTGCAACTCTTCTTTTGGCCAAAAACTATATCCTTATGCAGGTAAATATTTAAAAGCATTGAAAATATTACATAAAGTCAGAAACTGTTTGCCAGCAATCATTTATCATTACTGGTGACTTTTTTAGCTCTTCATTGTTCAGTTTCATTTATTGCATGTTTTTAATTTGGTAGGCTAACGCATTGGAAGAACTTCGAAGGATAATAACTTTCATGAATCAATCAGGAATTCCCTTACCACCAGGAATGGCTGCTGCTTGTGCTGCTGCAGCATCGATACCTTCATTAACAAATCCATTTAATGGTGAACCTCCAGCAAATTTTAATCAAAATCAAGCTCGTCCATCAATAGGACTTAACGGATCTTTACCAATACCATCGAATAAAAGTTCTACTGATCTTGCCAGTTTACCCAGCAATGTTAATGCTATTAACGATTGTGGTTCACCATTGACTCCAATTGCTGGGTTAATTGACCGTTCAGTGGTGGATAAATTGGCTCCAGTGGGCCCGATTAATTGCTCACAAAGGAATGATAAATAAATTTATAGTTGATCATTACAAGGATAAAGGATATTTCAGATGTTATTCATTATCTGACAGTATAGAAAAAAAAATCATTTTATATTCAATTATAACTGAACTCAATCTGATTTACTATAAAATAATGTAACAACTTGAAATTTTCAGTTTCAAACAAATCTTAGAGATTTATCTAGCCTGTCATCAGCTTTATCATATTGAAATCAGTTTGATATCCAATTTTAATCTTTTTACTCTCAATTTTCATCTAAATCTTGTTAATCTGGGAATGAAAATGAAATCTAAACAAACTTACAATTTGATGTTTAGCTGTTCAAATAGGCTTGATCGTTATGCATAAGCTGCTAATCAATTACAATCAACCCGCAAATTCCTCACCATTAACATCATCATTAAAGCATCTTTAAATGAACATCAAACTTAAAGTTTAATCCTCATCAATACCATGATTCTCACCATTAACACTGTGATTTTATTTCCACTATAATATAAACCTATGTTCAACTTTCATTATATTATTACACTCGACTTTATGCCTTTTAATTAGGTTAATTGTGTTATCCGAGTAAGTAAAAAACGTGTCAACATACACACACACAAAACGTTACAGAGACGCGTGTTGAGGCCCAAAAATACAACATCTCTCATCCTCTTTTCATCATCTTTCAACAATCTTCTTCCTTTCATCTTCCCAACTTGTTTCTTTTTTTGTCAATAGTTAAACAATTTTAATGGTTTTAAGCTTAATATCTTTGTGATGTCCATTTGGTTTCCCTCTTCACACCATAACAATTTAATCATTTTTTCACACTCATTTTACCTGGTCTTTCCATCTTCATCATCCTTCTCTCCATTATTCTCATCATCACTCATCTCATACTTTCCTTACAACAAGAGCAAAAAAAACGATTTCCACTCCCATTTTTCTGATACACATTTCCACATGATTAATGCTTTGATCGATTAATTGTGACTTTTTTCACACTAGTTAACCATTGATCCTATTATAATCCATAGCAAAAAAAGATGAACTTCCAGATAGCCAGGATAAAATGGAGAGAGAAAAGTGTGAATAAAAAAGTGAAAACGCGTTTAACTTAAATCATTTTTATTGATTTAACAATTTAAAAACCACATCACAATGTTATTATGCCTTTAAACGACCCCTAACATCATCATTATCATAATCATTTTAGCCACTTTTCCCTGAAAATCAAATGAAAATCAAGTAAATCACTTTACAAACCATAACCATTGATCTAAACTGAACAGATTATCACATAATTATTAGCAAAAATGAAGACCAGATAATTAATTGACAATTCAAGTTTCCCTTCATGTTATCAGAAAATTTGATTCATTCCTATTCATATGAAAAGCTATCAAAATTATTGTTCAGTTATGGATAGGATTAAAATGATCAATTGGTTTGGTTAAAAGATCATATTCAGTTGCTATCTACTTCTCACTTTTACATGATATAAAAGGAATTGAATTGTCCTCCGCTTTTTGTAGACAATTTACTGACCAGTTAATGGGACAAGGATTGATAGGTAAGTTAAGTGTTTTGAAAAGATTAAGATTAGGGTCACTTTTTCGGGGAGGCTTCAAGGGATCCATCTTTATGTATAACAATCAAGTTAATATTTGGTCTTTTCAATCATTTTGAAACGCCTCTTTTTGCTGGCCACAAGGCAAACACTCCATAAATATAATAATAAATAACAATAATCATATTAATAGTAATCATCTTAAATGGTTTATCATCAGTTATTAAATTGTGAGAAGACAAAAATGTAACTTTCCTTCAATTGCTATAATAATGATAGACAATTTTGTGTTGACAGAAAAAAAACTCAACACACACAAAAAAGTGGATTGATTTTCATTCAATCAGGATTTTCCAGGCTTTAGTTGAGCTTCACTCCTCATCATCTTTATCGTTCATTGATAAATCTATACTGGAATTAAAATCTTGTACATTTATCACGATAACTGTTTGTCTACGGCTTTTCACAAAATGATATTCATTTGATCGCACAAACATTTTGACAACTAATACGGATAAATTTATATTTGTCTTCATTGTTTGCTTTGGAAAAGACTTTTTTTCATTATAACTAAGAGAATCAGGATGGATGATGATAAAAAGTTTATTACAATTAATGTAAATCACATCAACTTGATCTATTCAATTCCATTTAATCTGTCAATTACTTTTCCTCCTTTCCAGTCGCTCTTCTGGCCACTGTCTTCATCTGCTTTATGTCCATCCAATTAATTGAATCACACCGAGTTAGAAATGCAAAACAATAACATGAATAATGTAATTAAATTCAGTTATCTTGTCCAGCCATTTAATTTACTCTGTTCATTTGAAATAGGATTGAGGGTGAGGATTAAAAAAGGATAAGCTCTGTTTTCCACTTGTAAAGTTGTTTCTTGAAAGAGGCCAACAAACAATGATCATGTCAACAGAAAGCAAAGCTGACATTTAGAAAGGGTTTCTCCTGCCAATGGGTCAAAGTTAATTATCAATTAACATTGCAACAATAACAATCACACGAATCAATGAAATTATATTGTTAGCAGACACAATTGAATTCATCCGATGTCGATGTAACAACTGCAACATGATGAAGCAAATTTATGAAGCATTTTATACTCAGCCTAAGGTTTGAATAAGCAAAATTACGGAAAAAATAGATGAAGAAGACTTGTCAGTTGATTAGAGACGTTTGAAGACAGTTTTGGGCAAAATTTTCATCCAATAAAGATGACAAGGATGATGATGATGGTGATGTATTCCTTTGAGATTGACTGAATGCCACTAACTCCATGTAAATATAAAATGAAGAGGATAAAGTCACTTATAGCGATGAGTCTCTTGAGTGTATAATGTATTATTTGAGGATCAAGTGGTTAGGATAACTTTTTGTCTCCAAGACTTGTTGACCCAGCTTCTCCACTTGTTTTGGGTTAACATTGGGTAAGAAGAGAGAGTCAAACAAACAAATAAAAAAAAACGGAACAAAAAAATTGACAAGAAATATGTAAATAGAAATGATAAACGCGTAAACTTTTAACCATAAATACGAGTCAGTAGTCATTGGAAGCATCTTATTACTTGCATGTAAAAAAGAGGGAAATTCAAAATGAACTCGAGCTTTAATTTATTTTCATTTTTTTCATTTCTTGCTCATCTATTCGCTTAATCACTTGTTATTTATTCAAATCCAAATTATACACTTAATTTTGAAAGTATTGTGATTAAATTTTAACAAATAAGTATTCCATTGAAAAATAAAAAGTTAAAATGTATGATAAGTAGGCCTAACAATTGTTACAGTCAAAATTTGTATTGATTTTTTGTCTTCTCTCGTTAGATTGAATCGATTTGAATAAACATTTATCTCTAATATATTATGATGATCATAATAATAGTAATACAATTCAATCAATAGAATGATTTTATCGACAAATACAAGTAATATTTGGGTTAAGTGATTTTACAATAATAATTATCTGTTACAGCATATTTTTCCCAGTTTCCTTCAGTGATTTCTGTTGGTGGTTAAAAACAAAATCAAAGTCAACTAATTATTTACATAGATAGTTAATTTTGTTAACTGCTATGAGGTAGTTAAGAGGTAAATGGATGTAAAATTGGCAAAGAAACAAAGCAAAATGATTTGATTTGATGATCCTCTTTGATTTACACTGTAATGCAGTTTAACCATTAAGCTGTGACACAAGAGATGTACACAAAAATCAACCATCCACGCTGATTTAACATAATTGTACGATTATTGCTGTATTCTGATAAACCATTATAGTGATTAAAGTGCGTCCAAAGATGTCAATGACAATATGTAAAACGTTGATTAAATGGAGAAATGGGTTGCTTTGAAATAATGACCAGTGATGATCAAAAGTGAAGCCATCAATGGTAAAACAAGACCAGGTTTTATGTTGCTTGATTTGTTACAGTAATCAGATTTACAGCTGTATTGAGTGCCGTTGATCCTACGGTTCTGGTAGTTGAAATAAGATGGTTGAGTACGACTTAATGGTTTCTCATCACAATCCCGAATCAAAATTGTTTCACGATTGTCTGAATGAAAGGTGAGCAGAGAAAAAAGTATAAAATAATTAGATGTTGTAAATTGCAATTAGTGAGTGACTATGCATGACATGTAACTGTGGGAAAAATAAGTGTTCATTCAAAGTCAAGGTTTAAATCAATCAATAAATCAACAAAAATTCATTGATTTACTGGATCAAATTGTTGAATATAGAGCTGAAACAAGTAAACTTTGTTACAAATGTTTACAAATGTTTATCAGCAAGTGACTTGATCTTCAATGGATTGAAGGGATGGAAATCTTGAAAGCTTTGAAGGTTTAACATGAACATTAATGAATCAACATGTTTAGAAGAAAATTTCAAAAATTGAACAATTTACCTGTTCTGCCAACAATTTTAATACAGTATTCAGCTGCAGACTGCAACTGTCTACCCATTGGTTGGAATCTGCAATTTTCCTGATAACCAGCTCCAGATGAACCCGATTCACAAGCTGAATCCATACCATTAATGCTTTGACACTTATAACATGAGATCGCCAACATTCCTGTGATAAATATTTCCAATTGACCAACAATTAGATTCAGTTGAAAAGTAAAAAATTATCAGACACTTACCTTCCAACGAGAATAAAATGATGACCGCTTGAAACAAAACTGTTAACCATACTTTGATTTTAACCATTTTTGTCCGTTGATCTGTTGGTGGGTTGAATATAAAAGCTCACAATAATAAACAATATTCCCGATTAATGTTCAGTTATTTGAAGTGTTTTGCCAATTGTGTTGCTTTGAAAAATTAACAATCAAATGGGGAAATAAATTGACTAAAGATATGAGATGCAGTCAAATTCAAGTCATAATAAGTGTAAAAGTAAAAAGGAATATTTTGAGATTAATTTTGTTCGTCTTGTTTCATAGGTAACAAATTGCTGGTAGTCCTTCAAAGGTGGGCAAGGAGGAGCTTCAGGGGATGATCAAGGGGTGATTCAAATTATTGACAACAATGACAAAAATAATGAATGATATTGATCAAGGTTGAGAAGAAAGGAGAGAAAAAAGGTGAGAAAAAAATGAATCATTGAATTCTGGTCAATCTGATGGAAATGGTCTTTTTTTTACAATCTTGCGATACAATAAATTTCAATCGATGATGTTGATTGTAGGTTGAGAATGGTTGATGAAGGTAAATGATTTTGTTTCACTTTAGACTTACATCTTCCATGCATATTTCATAACTAGAGTAAGCTAATATAATGAGTAATATATTTGCATGTTGAGCTATCTTCACTCAGAATAGTAATCAGGTCAATTCTTGATTTCGTGATTCCCCATTATTATTATAGTTGATTTCCCTTTTCTTTCAACTCAATCAGTTTCTTTTTGACCTCGAACTGACTCTTTCCTCCAACATGATTCTTGTAATAAACTGATATTCAATTTGATTGTCCGGCAATGATTGTAATGTAAAATATTTAGCCAAAAATTAAATTTATTGATCCTCTGGAAATTAACAAAAGAGAAAGAAAACAAACAATTAGATTGGATTTTCTAATATTTTTTACATTTCACTTTTAAAGCTATTTATATCACTGAATAATCTGTAAAGTTCTGTATCGTCTGTAACAAAGTTTCTAGATTGAAATGAAGGCTGATTTGTGATAATTAAGCTTCAAAGGATTGATCTTCTTCGCCGTGATTCTCCGTCAAATTGGTTGAGCAAATCAACTACAGCAGTTATTGAGCTTCGATGGTGGAGAGAGACACCAGCAGCGGCAGCATCTTTACCAATCGCAAACAGCTTGTCCCATATTGATTTATCCAAAAATTCATGACAATGGTCAAGTGTTTTGTACTTTCCACAAGCATAATCAATGGCCTCGGTAACCTGTTAAAGTAATGGCAGGAAGAAAAAAAGTAAATTAGAAAATGGAGAAATAATTGGATCGATTTATAATATTGGATAATTACCGTTGATTCAATAACCTCATCAATATACTCTTTTGTTCCTGACCCTGTGATAGGGTGACAGACTTCTTCAATTTTATCTGAAAAGCATTGATGGGCTTGGTGGAAAGAGCAACAAGCAGCAACCGTTTGTTCAGATTTGGCCACATTACCAGTTATCCATTCAAGTTGACCGATAAAGTTATTTTTACACCCAATTATTGGTCCAAGTTTATCCTTGTGTCTTAGACATTCAGCGTGTTTCAAGAATTCTAATTCATGTTAGAAAAGAGAAAATTTTCTCAGTCAATCAATCAAATTAATTGATCCAAAAATTAACAATTTCAATCAAGCCTTATTGAGAGCAACAAATTACTCTAGATTTTAACAATCAAATATTGATTTATGTTTGGCCAAAAGACAACAGCTGTGTTAGTGACAGTTAAAAAAACTCAGTCCAACCAAACTGTAAAATTGTTATTACCTGCTCTTCCTTCTGGTTTATCACATCTATGTTTCATTTCCTTCCTTAAATCATGATTGAACATTCCGAATAGTGTTTTAGGGAAAGGCTTTAGACACTTTTTGTTGAAATCTCGGATGCAGTCAAGATTGCTGAACATTTTTCTGCACAAATAAAAACAATAGATCAAAATATCCGTTATAATCGTACTCTTTACAGTTGGTTATGATACTATTACAATCAACAAACAATTACAAATAATTAACTCACCCGCAATGTTCAACCATCTCAGCGTCATTGGTTGGTAAAGGTATCTCATTATCTTCAAGCAGAGCTAGATGAAGACCACATACTTCAAGCATTTCCTCAGCTTTACCACAATCAAAATCAGCTGAAGTCACCAAAAAACCTAGATGAATAAAATTAAAAATAGATTCAAGTAATCCAAAATTTAATAAAATTGTCAATTAAAAGAAGAAATAGAAGCGACAAAAACAACTCTTACCGGTAACAAGAATAACACAAATAGAGATAAGCTTGAACATAATTGAAAAGATTGTAGAGTTGTAGAGTCTTTGCAGGTGAATTCGGCGATTTATCCCCAATTGGAAAGAAATGAATAATGAATTCCATCACAACCAGAGATTCCAATTTATATAAATCGTTAATGATAATTTTTTGGATAAAACTGGCAACAATTGATTTGGTAAACTTGCGATGACAATAATTAGATAACATGTTTTCCTTAAAACAATAAGACATTGAGATAGGCGGGACATTTTCCCTCGATATAAAAATTGAGAATATGCATCATTGAGGGTTAAATTAAAGCTTTCTTGTTACTACATGAAAATCAGGTAATTATTATCATTTTCAATGAAAATCAGGTTCAACATTGCCACGAACCTTTTACACCTGATTATTAGAGACATTTTTTTATTAAACAATGCCTTGTTGCCCTTGATAGTCTCTGTGAATTGGGAATTTTCAAGCTTTCAATTTTAAAACCTTAAATATTGCTGCTCTTACAATTAAAATGATTTCAAACTTCAACCGTAACACACATTTACAATCATTAAAATTGATTTTGTAGATAGCAATTAGTAAATCTCAGGTTTATTGATCCATTTCATTTGTTTGTTACAATGAATAAAAAAAAATGAAAAGACTCTGATAAAAGTTACAAAATTTTACGATCCATTGGTTAATGATTGTTGACACACTTGAAAATTCACTATTTTATAACAATTAATTGTTCCACAAGACAATCGTATAATCATGATTGAATCTCAATCAATTTGGTTAAAAATTTAACTCAAACTCATTTTCATTGAGTTCCAGAGCAAATGTTTTAATTACTTGTGTGCTGGCTTTGTTTTTACCATTGAACAAATGGATATGATACTCTATCGCTGGCTTATATCAATAACATCACAAGGAATCCTCGAAGAATTGATAGCATTTCGTTATATCGCTATCAAAAGACATTGGCGTTAGCTTGCAATTCATCCATTCAATTACTAATCTTATCGTTTTTATTTCCCCATATGTGTTTTATCAACTTGGAGTGATGAAGCTTCTTATTATCAAATGTTGCATCGCTCATGACTCTAACAATTGTAAGAATCTTTATTGTCACCTCTTCATGTCGAGCCTTTCTTGTTGCTTTTTCTTCATGTAATTTATCTAATTGCTTGTTTATACTTCAATTAGTTATCCTTAATTACCGTCCTTGTTTGGTTCATATTTCGAGTCCTTAATTCGTCACAGGATAATGATTGGTACGTTTTGATACAGCTCTGTCAACTGGACTCTGGATTCATCTATTTCATCTATTTTTAGACCTTAAGCCACAATATTTTTCAAGATTTCGCTAAATTATTGAATTTTTTAAACCAGTGATCGTTTCCTTAGTCATTTTTTGCTCGGACAGCTTATAGTCCCAGCTAAACAATGATAAAATTTTGACAACTGAAAGCCTGACATTGAAGTATTTTTGTGTAAATACTATTTGGAAACCGTTACAATCAAAATGACATTTTCTCATTTATTTTAGATTGGATTTGATTTCCTTTAAAATCAGGTTTCATGAAGTGTTTCAAAGCAATTCTGACTAGAAATAAATGAGCAATGAATGGGTTAAGTTGCAACTATTGGTAAAAACTAGTCTTTACATTAAACCCTAATTCCTTCACCTGGTAGAATCGCTCACTGCTGAACATAATAAGCATGATAATAAGCAATAAACATCAGAAATTTAATTATTTGAAGACAATCAAAATTTAAACATTTTAACGATTTTTTTAAATCACATATGAAGTTTTCACCATCTTTTTCAGTACATTTTAAGCTTCCAATTGAGATTAGACTTTTTTATTTCTGATTGTTTGTCATTAATTTTAAACTGACTTTAAATGACTTAATAATGATTATTGAAGAGCGATTTGAAAATATTTTCAATAATGAAAAAGATTCAAATTAAAGGTCAGACAATCGATATGAAAATTAAAAGGACGAGACAAAAAGTTTGACCATTTTAGATATTCATTTGTTATAAAGTCAATATGTTGCACATCTAAAGCTTTAAATCTGATTCTGCTTTGTGGGGATCTGAATTAAGAAAAATAAATTGCTTGATTAGCTTCTAAAAATAAATTACTGAAATGATAAATCAAATGACTCTTCTGGAGGTTATCTAATAATATTCAGCAAGATGACATTGGATGGGTTAAATGAGTGAAAGGTTCAACGTTTTGAATCTTCAATTTCATAGCAGTCAATGGATTGAAATTAAGTCAAGTTAATTAACGACATGACTTCGCATATAACTTTGCTTTGACTTAAATCCACTCGAATCAAAGATATCTCATTAATCGTAATTAACCTTGTAAATTATTTAATCTAATCATGTTATGGCGCTAATATGCAACAGATTATCATGATTTTACGATAAAAAACTTCTTTTTAAGTAAACTGGAGCTGGAAAACACCTTATTATTCATGAGATTTTTACACCGAGGTTAACTGAAACTCAGTGCCAAAGATGAAACTTTCTAGTTACGTGCGAACCAACAAATGGAAGTTAATCAAAACGTTTTTATGTTACTTGACTTTTTGCTGTTATGGAGGTTGTGCCACCCTGTTGGGGTCATCTTTACTGGATTTACAGATCAGATTGGGTGTTTCGTTTAAACAATTGTCCAGTTTAGTCCCAAGTCGATCAATTGGATTTTTTATTGGAGGATTGATATGTAAGTTGGTCAGAATATAATTGATTAATATTAGCTTATAAACTCATGTGAAAATGATTGTTTATTATTCAAGCTGGATTCCTTGACATGTGTTTTGGACCTGATATGGTGTTATTTGTGACCATTTTTTCTTCTGGTGTGTTTACAATATTGGCTCCATGGTTTAAACAATTTTACGGAACTTATGTTTGCCTGCTTTTATCAGGATTAGCTCAAGGAATTTTTGAAATCTGTAAGTATATTTTGTAATTTGAAAAAACCTCCAAATGTACGCATTATCTTCATCAATTTAGACGCATTGTGTTGTGCTTTTGTCTTTGACTCGAGAGAATCAGTTTTTTCTTGTTAATTACTTCTATTATCAAACTATTTGTTTAAAATTTTTATATTGAATTTTCTTGTTCATAGATACAAACATATGTGTATTATCAACATGGAATGATGAAGCTTCTAATTATGTGCAACTATTGCATGGATCTTTTGGTCTAGGATCTTTATTGGCGCCTCTTCTTGTTAAGCCTTTCTTGTTACCTTTGGTTCAAAATGAAACTGAAACTCAAAGCGATGAAGTTGTTCTTGGAGATTACACCCCCGATGACGTGAAAGTTCAGTATCCATATTTAATTCTTGGATCCATTCTTGTTTTTGGGTCCTTTGGCTTTCTCTTCTTTCACTTCAAAAACAAGTCGATTAAGAATGCAAATGAAACTATTGATGATGAGATTGTTGATGATGATAAGCCTGTTGTCAATAAAATATTTGCCGTTTTAATCGTTGCATTCATCGCTCACACAACATTTGCAGCTGAGACAGTTATCGGTGAGATATAAAATAATGAAATTAACTTTATTGCGATGAATAACACTGATAATGATTTTATTTATGATTTTCAGGAACATTGGCGCCAGCTTTCGTTGTTAAATCGGATTTGAGGATGACAAAACAAGCTGGAGCCAATATAGTTTCAGCCTTTTGGTTCTGCTTCACATTTTATCGTATTATTTACATCACATTCACCAGGTTTATCAGGGAAAGACGTATAATTATTTTCAATTGTACACTCTCTCTGATAGGACTGATATTGATGTGTGTCTATCCTGAACAAAGTCAAGTGATTACATGGATTTCATTTACATTACTTGGAATCGGATTTTCACCTGCATTTTCTTCCTCACTTGGACTGCTACAAAAATACATAACAGTCTCGAATAGATATGCTTCATTTTTATTCATTATTGCTAGCTCTGGCGAAGCGGCTCATCCATGGGTTATCTCAAAATTTATGGACTCTTTACCAACATTTTTTGCCTATTATGTTGCTATTTTATCTTTTATTCAGGTAATTTCTGTTCTTTCATTGTCGCCAATATGCCAGAAGCTTTTCAAATCCAAAACAAAGACAACATTGAATAGACTTGCTTCAGTTAGATCAAGTCAAAGATAGTACTTTCGATTTATCTTACTTGTATTATGACTCTAAATAGATCAAAGATGTAATTGTTGAACCTTTCATTAAACCTGTGAAAACCAAAGACAAATACTTTATATTTAATGCGTAAATTATTTTGATTAATAACACATCAAAATCCACCTCGCATCTATTACTGAGTTGGAGAGTATTTGAATAAGATAAGAAAAATTGGTATCAAAGTTGCATTAATTTAACTAGCTCATTTAAGGATGAAGATCAAAAGAATAGGGAAAATTGCTTAGCTTTGTATTATTAGTTTCAATTTTTTTAAACAAATTTTCTAATGTATTTTGATGCGCTGATTCCATAACCGATCCATAAGATCAAACTTATATTTTTGAGACATTTTTAGAGCCATTCTTTTTTACGTAAATCATGTGTGTTGTGTACTGCGAGAATCTGGTATTCCAAAGAGCGTCTCATTGATTGTCTTATTTTTTCATGTCATCCTGTGGAATTTGAATAAGTTAGGTGAATGTAAATGGATGGAAATGCTCTGAAAACTAACCTCTAATTTCGCTTACATGTAATGTGCCCTTATAATACGTAATAAAGTTTGACCAGGGAATATAACGTTGATTGATAACGGGTTTGATAACGTGATTTCCTAATCGAAACCAGTTCCGTTAAAGCGTTTCCTCAAAACGACAAACGCAAGTGACTTAAGGTAATAGGAACCATGGTTTGAGTGCACTACTAACGAGACAATAAACATAAACAACATAAATAAACATTTTAGGTAATCATTTGAAATCAAGTGAATTTCATGGAAGGCAATTTTTGAATGCTGCATGTTGATCAACATATTGAAATATTATACATACATTATACATATTTAATTATTACTCCAAATTTTTTGAAATCCCGATCCAAAGTTGGGTTCCTATTTTCACTGGCAAAAGGAGAAATTAGATTTTGACGATCTTTTCATTGCTATTGATATGAAAATGAAACGAGACAATAAAAACCCTTTAGATAATCATTTGAAATCTAGACAATCCCTTGAGAGCCCAAAAGTACTTACGAAAACCCGATTCCGGCTAGTTGAATCCGGAATCAAGAAAAATACAATGCTTAATCAGGTTCATAAAATTGCATGAATGAAATGATAAATCTAATGACTCCTGTGGAGGTTAGCTAATAACATTCAGCAAGACACAGAATCAGGGGGACATCGTTATCTAGGATATTTATTTAATCATATTTCTTGTCAACCACTTGATCTAATCATGTATTGTATTCATATGCAACTGGTTATTATGATTTTATGATAAAATTACACTTAAGTATTTAAAGCAAAACAAAACTTAGCAACTGATAGTTCAGATGGAAATATTGCTTCTTATAGACCGCGGTTGATTGAAACGACGAACCAAGATGAAACTTTCAAATTATGTGCAAACCAATGAATGGAAGTTAATCAAAACTTTCTTCTGTTGCTTGACCTATTTCACCTCTGGCGGTTGTGGTACATTATTGGGATCATCTTTACTGGATTTACAAATCAGATTGGGTGTTTCGTTTAAACAATTGTCAAGTTTAGCTCCAAGTCGATCGATTGGTTTTTTTATCGGAGGATTGATATGTAAGTTGGTGAAAATTTAATTGATAAACAGCTTATTGCTCGCTTATTATTCAAGCTGGATTCCTCAACATGTGTTTTGGACCTGATATGGTATTATTTGGTACAATTTTTTTCGCTGGTGTAACTACGATATTGGCTCCATGGTTTAAACAATTTTACGGAACTTATGCTTGCCTACTTTTATCAGGATTTGCTCAAGGAATTTTTGAAATCTGTAAGTATATTTTGTAATTTGAAAAAACCTCAACATGAATGTACTCGGCGTCATAACATTGACGTAACGGTTAAGTGTCTATTAGACACTGTCTAACTTTTCAAGAGAGTGATTTTTCTCTTCCACTAGATATAAAATTTTTAATTGTGCTTTAGCTTTTGCATTGAAATCTTTCTTTTATTTTACGCTTATTTTTACATTCTTACATTGTTAGATACAAACATATGTATCTTATCAACTTGGAATCAGGAAGTTTCTGTTTATGTGCAAATATTGCATGGATCTTTTGGTCTAGGATCTCTATTGGCGCCTCTTCTTGTTAAACCTTTCTTGTTACCTTTGGTTCAAAATGAAACTGAAACTCAAAGCGATCAAGTTACTTTTGGCGATTACAATCCCGATGACGTGAAAGTCCAGTATCCATATTTAATCCTTGGATCTATTCTGGTTTTTGGGTCGTTTGGCTTTCTCTTCTTTCACTTCAAGAACAAGTCGATTAAGAATGCAAATGAATCTACTGATGTTGAGATTGTGGATGATGATCACCCTGTTTTAAAGAAAATGTTTGCCGTTTTCATTGTTGCCTGCATAGCTCACACAACATTTGCAGTTGATCTAATTACCGGTAAGATATGACTGAAAAGATTATTTTTATTTCGATTTAAACTCTAATAATGACTCTAATAATGATTCTATTTATGATTTTCAGGATCATTGGCACCAGCTTTCGTTGTAAAGTCGGATTTGAGGATGACAAAACAAAATGGAGCCAATTTAGTTTCAGCTTTTTGGTTCTGCTTAACATGTTATCGTATCCTTTTCATCGTGCTCATCAAATTCATCAACGAACGACGCGTAATCATTTTCAATTGCACACTCTCTATAATAGGACTGATACTGATGTGTATATACCCTACACATAGTCAAGTGATTACGTGGATCTCATTCATGTTACTTGCCATCGGGATTTCGCCAACATTTTCTTCCTCACTTGGACTGCTACAAAAATACATTACAGTCTCAGACAGATATGCCTCATTTTTATTCGTATTTGGTGCTGCTGGTGAAGCAGCGCATCCATGGGTTATCTCAAAATTCATGGACTCTTTACCGAAACTTTTTGCCTATTATGTTGCCGTTTTATCTATTATTCAGGTGGTTTCTGTTCTTTCATTGCCATCAATATGCCAGAAGCTTTTCAGATGTAAAACAAATACAACTTTGAATAGACTTGCTTCAGTTAGATCAAGTTCTAAATAGCTTTACCCTGCCAGTTCAACTGAAGATGCGTGTATAAAATGGTTAAACAGTTAAAACTGAAAAACAACTTACTGAAAACTTATTTGTATAAACATCAATTTTAAATTTATACTAAATTCTTATATCAGTTTCTATTAAAATATGTACAGAAATAATAAATTATAAATAAAATAGTACAAATGAAAACTTTTTCAGAACAAAAAAAATGAAAAATCGTTAATTCAAGTGCTGCAATTAAAATTGAAAGTCTTGGTTATTCTAAGGTTCGGTTCTGCTTGTTTCACCAATCCTTTGAACTTTTCAGTTTGCTAATTGTAAAAAACAATGTTTTAAACTAAAGACAATGGATAAAAACTTTGACTTTCGAGTTAACAGTTGAGACTTGGTAGGATTGCAGTCAATTTGTGTTTGAGTAACCATTTACCTTAATATGAATCACCTCAGATCTTATAAAATCTGACAACAATTTATACAATGTACAGAATAAAAGCTAACTAGAATTCGTTCATTCTAGGCATTTGATTGAAATGTCTTCTATGCACATTTTTTTCGCCAGAAATTTGAGCTTCTAGAAAAAATATTGAAATTGGCTGTTTGAATAAGTCTTTGTTTATATTGCAGTATTGAACATTTTTAGTGTCTACGACCATACCAGACTGAAAACACCGGATCCCGTCCGATCTCCGAAGTTAAGCAGTTTCGGGCCGGGTTAGTACTTGGGAGGGAGACCACTTGGGAACCCCCGGTGTTGTAGACTTTTTGTTTCATTTTGATATCAAATAACAAAATTAATCCAAATTGAATGGATATGAAAAGCCCTTTTTAATGCACTCAGTTTTCATGCCCCTACAAACCTATTGAATGTTAGCCCATTATGTTTACCTTTCAAAAATTGATTTAATTTCACTTTCGAGTCACAATTTGTTTCGCTAACTGCAATTTAAATTTGTGTTGATTTAGATGATTACTGCTTTTCCTGAGTTTCAGGGTCGGCTTCTAAAAATTTGTATATTTTTTTCGGCGATATTCAGTTCAAAACCTTTCTTTTGCGATCAACAGAAATTTTATAGACCCATTGAGTGCGGAGAAATTTTGACAGAAAAATACCAAAACTGTATTAGTTGATAGGATGATTGGTAAAAGACTGATGATTGTGGTGGATACCATCCTCGAAATAATGAAGCTCAAAGTTTTTAGACCAATGACCAATAGCAAGAGAACTGTTGGTCGGCAATCAATTACCGTATCGGCGCACATAATGTCACGGTGCTTCAAAATGGGCTCGCTCAAATAACAGCACTTTTGCTGCCCATTTAGACGCTCATGGGCTATTATTAATGATCACTTTGAGCTTTTTCTCGACCGATTAGCAGAGAAAAAATTTGATCTTATGAATGCATTTCTATTAGTTAATTGAAAAATTCAAAATAATAGTCAAAATTTCTCTATTAACCGATCAATTTCGATTTTTACAAATTTTTCCTTTTCTGAGTTGACGCATGCTCAGTGACTAAAATTCTCACTTATTACGAGCGAGCTCGATCCGAGGCACCGTGACATTATGTGCGCCGATACGGTAATAAACTTTACAAAAGTCTTGAACAGCAGTGTGAATTTATCAATCAATTGTTTACTAAAATGCAGTCTCAAACTATATTGACCATCTTTCAGCGACAAATACTCTGCGGAATGATGAATTCATTACCATTCGTTGATTATTTCAGGATAATCAAAATTTCGCTCAACATTGAAAGGATAATTTGCTTTTCTGGAGATTCTAATTGATAAAAATCTTATTGGAAATCACCAAAAAACACAATTTCATCAGCTATCAAACATATTAATTTACAATTTTTTCAATCATGAAATTGGTATGATAGTATGATAATTAATCATTTGAAATCAATCATTAAAAAAACCCACAAAGACTTTTGGGTTTACCTAACAGGTTTAATTCAAACCAAAGCGTAATGAGTTATTATCAACTACTCTTTACTAGACATTCATCATTGAAACAATTTCTTCAAGGTTCGTTCATTGTGTTACTCAATTGTTGATAATGATAATCATCTGTTGATTTTATAATTTAAAGACAGCGGATGATTATCATAAAATCCAGGAGTAAGGAAAGTCGCTTAAAGCTAATCATTTGATTGTGAACCAACAGTAGTTTATCTCAAGCGATGAGTCTGAGGCGAGAAAATAAAATGCTTAATTAGGTCCATAAATTGGATATCAATTATAATTATACATTATATTATAATATAAACATAAAGATAACATCATGATTTAGATGATATCACGACCTCAATGTTTCGACACTTGAGTTTTACATGTTACATTGATCATGAAATACGTTCCTAGTTGGTTAACTTTATCATGATTCCTTACATTTTATTAATATATGGGGCCACTCAATCTTGAGCTATCTCTTTAATCATGATGCATCTTAAAGTTTATAAGCTATAAAGCACTTATTCTAATCATGTAACAGATTATTCTGATTTTGTGATAAAAAAATCACACCGTCTTATTTAAGACAACAAATAAAGCTCAACAGGAACTTATTATTCAATCATTTTCACACAAAGATTGACTGTGAATTTGAGCCAAGATGAGACTTTCAAATTATGTGCGAACCAATAAATGGAAATTGATCAAAACACTATTCTGTTACCTGGCCTTTTTCTGCTTTGGCGGTTGTAGTACACTGTTGGGATCATCTTTACTGGATTTACAAATCAGATTGGGTGTTTCATTCAAACAATTGTCAAGTTTAGTTCCAAGTCGATCAATTGGGTTTTTTATTGGAGGAATAATATGTAAGTTGATTGAAATTTAATTGAAAACAGATTATGAATTAATGTAGAAATGATTTTTTGTTATTTAAGCTGGATTCCTTGACATGTGTTTGGGGACTGATATGGTAATATTTGTTGCCACTTTAACTGCTGGTGTGTTTACTATATTGGCGCCATGGTTTAAACAATTTTACGCAGCTTATGCTTGTCTACTTTTATCAGGATTAGCTCAAGGAATATTAGAAATCTGTAAGTATATGAATTTTAATATAAATGTTTATCTTGTGATTAGTCGATTTCATTCTTTTTCAATACAATATGTAGTGATCTTCATAGTACATGGGCTGAAGTTCCGATTAAGGGACCCTGGCAGATTTTGATATTGCTCATCCAGTAGGTACTTTCGACTATGAACTTTTCGAAAATCGAAACCATTTTTTGCGCAAACTTTGCGTTTGCGCACAATCGCTTCGCAAAGTTGAAAATTAACATGGGCGTCTATGGGAAAATGAAATTTCATTTTTCATCGGCATTTTCATATTTATATGCCCAGTAAGGAGTATATTGAGAGAAAAAAATTTGCCTTCAGATATGCGACCTATGACGACTTGGTTCCATGTACGCTAACATGACGAAACGCAAAAAATGATTTTTTACTGATAACAAAGATATGACCTAACTCGATTTATATGATTATTTCCATTACTATACTCATAAAATAAAGTGCATTATGATAAAAAAAATTTGCTACAGATATGCGTGCCATTATGAGATGATTGCATGTATAGTAAATTGAAGAAATGAAATTATTAAGTTGAACAAAGATATTATATAACTAGAATTGAGAAACGAAACATATTGCTTGTCAGATTTTAACCTAACCAAACCATATCTAACATAACTTGTTATAGCATAACGTTACCTAACCAAACCTAACCTAACCTAACCTAACCTAACCAATCAACGATGGCGCAAATGTTAAAGCTTGCACATTATTGGACGTTAACATTCGTTTCCTGATTTGTCAAAAATACAATAAAATTACGCTTTTTTACAGTCAAGCTCTATCATTGGTTGATAAAAATTTTGCATTTTTCTTTATGCTGATGCGTTCTTTGTTTTCACTTACAATTCAACTTTCATCAGTTCAACTTCAAATTTTTCAGTTTCATTTTTCTTTTTTTTTGCTAAAATGACCAATCTTTTTAGTTTGTGCCTCAAAATACAAAGTGAAGAAGCCGCTAAAGCTTTTTGCATTGAAAAAGGCTTGGTCAAAATGACCTCGTTTTGTACTGACCACGAAAAGGACACACGTTGGGTGGATGGACCTTTGTTTGGTTATTTTATTTGCAAAACCAAAGTCAAGGGTCGTGAGCACATCCACAAACGTGCAGCTGCTAAGAACACATGGTTCGAACAGTTGCGCTGTGACATCAGGCAAAGAATTATTATTACTTATTGCTTTGCAAATAATTTTAGTTTCGAGCAAACAATCAATGAATCTTCGATTCTTCAAGGCTCGCGAGTATCACGCGAAACTGTTTCTGATACATTTAGTTACTGTCGAGAGGTAACCATGGCTGCTCTCGATGAATTATATGAAGCGTCTGGTAAGATTGGAGGTCCTGGTATTATCGTCGAGATCGACGAAACGAAAATCGGAAAAAGAAAATATAATAGAGGACGGATGGTGGAAGGTAATTGGATAATCGGAATGATTGAGAGAGGTAATACTGGCTATCGCTTGGAAATTTGTCCTAACAATGAGCGAAGTGCAGAAAGTTTGGTGCCTCTGATTCTTAAGCATGTGGAAATTGGCACAGAAATCCACACAGATCTTTGGCGAGGTTATTTGAGCCTGGAAAGTCACGGATATATTCATAAAACTGTGAACCATTCCGAAAATTTTGTGGACCCGAATACCGGAGCTTACACACAAAATATAGAATCAAGTTGGCGGTCGCTTAAAAGATCAATTGGACGAGGAGGCATAATGCAACAGAATCTAGATCTTCATTTATGCGAATTTCTCTGGAAAAGAGAAATGAAAAAGAAAAATTCTGACAAATTTGAGAATTTGCTAAAAAATATCAAAAAAATTTACCCGGGAGCTCCACAGAGACCCTTAACTGATTCTGAAGATTCAGATTGATACTAACATTTTCATTGAAAGTTAATAAAAAAATTTGCTCAAAATTTTTGTTTGTTTTTTTTCTTAAGCTTTTTTAATTAGCTTTTTTTGTAGTTTGCTTTTCAGTGATTCTGTTTTGCTAAACAGAGACACAAAATTTTATAAGTTAGTTGTAACTTTTGTTCTCGCTTACTTAGGATACATCCACCTCTCATCTGCCTTCAATTAGTCTGCTTAGAGAAAGGTTCAAACGCTTTCAGCTCTAGACGAAGCTCGAACTCTGGTCAACCTGATAAGTTGCGAATGGTCTACAGTTCATTCCACAAGTTAAGTTGGTTAGTTAAGTTAAGTTAAGTAAAGTTGGTTGGTCAGTTAGGTTAGTTTAGGTTAGGTTAGGTTAGGTTAGGTTAGGTTAGGTTAGGTTAGGTTAGGTTAGGTTAGGTTAGGTTAGGTTAGGTTAGGTTAGGTTAGGTTAGGTTAGGTTAGGTTAGGTTAGGTTAGGTTAGGTTAGGTTAGGTTAGGTTAGGTTAGGTTAGGTTAGGTTAGGTTATGTTAGGTTAGGTTAGGGCACGTAAAGTTGGTTGGTCAGTTAGGTTACGTTAGCTCAGGTTAGGTTAGGTTAGGTCCCCCCCCGGTTAGGTTAGGTTAGGTTAGGTTAGGTTAGGTTAGGTTAGGTTAGGTTAGGTTAGGTTAGGTTAGGTTAGGTTAGGTTAGGTTAGGTTAGGTTAGGTTAGGTTAGGTTAGGTTAGGTTAGGTTAGGTTAGGTTAGGTTAGGTTAGGTTAGGTTAGGGTAGGTTAGGTTAGGTTAGGTTCGGTTAGGTTAGGTTAGGTTAGGTTAGGTTAGCTTAGGTTAGGTTAGGTTCGGTTAGGTTAGGTTAGGTTAGGTTAGGTTAGCTTAGGTTAGGTTAGGTTAGGCTAGGTTAGGTTAGGTTAGGTTAGGTTAGGTTAGGTTAGGTTAGGTTAGGTTAGGTTAGGTTAGGTTAGGTTAGGTTAGGTTAGGTTAGGTTAGGTTAGTGCACGTAAAGTTGGTTGGTCAGTCAGGTTAGGTTAGGTTAGGTTAGGTTAGGTTAGGTTAGGTTAGGTTAGGTTAGGTTAGGTTAGGTTAGGTTAGGTTAGGTTAGGTTAGGTTAGGTTAGGTTAGGTTAGGTTAGTGCACGTAAAGTTGGCTGGTCAGTCAGGTTAGGTTAGGTTAGGTTAGGTTAGGTTAGGTTAGGTTAGGTTAGGTTAGGTTAGGTTAGGTTAGGTTAGGTTAGGTTAGGTTAGGTTAGGTTAGGTTAGGTTAGGTTAGGTTAGGTTAGGTTAGGTTAGGTTAGGTTAGGTTAGGTTAGGTTAGGTTAGGTTAGGTTAGGTTAGGTTAGGTTAGGTTAGGTTAGGTTAGGTTAGGTTAGGTTAGGGCACGTAAAGTTGGTTGGTCAGTCAGGTTAGGTTAGGTTAGGTTAGGTTAGGTTAGGTTAGGTTAGGTTAGGTTAGGTTAGGTTAGGTTAGGTTAGGTTAGGTTAGGTTAGGTTAGACTTCGAACAAGCATGCGTTTTTTATATTTGCATTCCGTTTAGATCATAAATCGAGTTAGGTCATATCTTTGTTATCAGTAAAAAATCATTTTTTGCGTTTCGTCATGTTAGCGAACATGGAATCAAGTCGTCATAGTTCGCATATCTGAAGGTAAATTTTTTTCTCTCAATATACTCCTTACTGGGCACATCGTTATGAAAATGCCGATGAAAAATGAAATTTCATTTTCTCATAGACGCCCATGTTAATTTTCAACTTTGCGAAGCGATTGTGCGCAAACGCAAAGTTTGCGCAAAAAATGGTTTCGATTTTCGAAAAGTTCATCATTAGAAGTACCTTGGCTGTGATCCAGATCAAAATCTGCCCGGGTCCCTTAATCGGAACCTTCTCCTAGTACATGTATAACACTTTACTTGATACCGTAATATTTGTAGGTTGAATCAATACAATGTTTACACCGTTAAATTTTACGGAACAAGTCATATCAGCAATAATTTCTGACTATACATTAATTGAAAATATTTATTATCATTTACTTTCTTTTGGTGCTTTTCGCTATTTCTAGATACAAACATCTGTTTATTATCAACTTGGAATGAGGAAGCTTCAAATTATGTTCAGATATTGAATGGTTTTTTTGGCTTAGGATCTTTATTGTCACCTCTTATTGTTAAACCTTTCTTGTTACCTTTGGTTCAAAATGAAACTGAAGCTCAAAGCGATGAAGTTGTTCTTGGCGATTACACTCCCGATGACGTGAAAGTCCAGTATCCATATTTATTCATTGGATCGCTTCTGGTTTTTTCATCGCTTGGCTTTCTTTTCTTTCACTTCAAGAACAAATCGGTTCAAAACAAAAATTTATCTGCTGATGTTGAGATTGTTGATGATGATCACCCTGTTTGGAAGAAAATATTTGCCGTTTTAATTGTTTCATTCATAGCTCACACAACATTTGCAGTTGAGCAAGTAATTGGTAAGATATGAAATAAGAGTAACTTTATTTTGATAAACAACTCTGATAATGATTCTATTTATGATTTTCAGGCTCATTGGCACCAGCTTTCGTTGTAAAGTCGGATTTAAGGATGACAAAACAAAATGGAGCCAATCTAGTTTCAGCTTTTTGGTTCTGCTTCGCATTTTATCGTATCATTTTCATCGCCTTTACCAGGTTTATGACTGAACGACGTATTATCATTTGCAATTGCATACTTTCTATGATAGGACTGATATTGATGTGTATCTATCCTACACAAAGTCAAGTGATTACATGGGTTTCATTCATTTTACTGGGAATCGGATTTTCGCCAATATTTTCTTCCTCACTTGGACTGCTACAAAAATACATTACAGTCTCGAATAGATATGCCTCATTTTTATTCATATTTGGTGGTGCAGGTGAAGCGGCTCATCCATGGATTGTCTCAAAATTCATGGCGTCTTTTCCAAAACTTTTTGCCTATTATGTTGCTGTTTTATCTTTTATTCAAGTAATTTCTGTTCTTTTATTGTCGCCAATATGCCAGAAGCTTTTCAAATTGAAAACAAAGACAACATTGAATAGAATTGCTTCAGTCAGATCAAGTCAAAAATAGATTTATTTTCTCACATTTCCAGATACCAAAGAGTTTTATAAATTTTATTGTATATTTTAACTTATTTTTATTTGAAAATTAACCTATTTAATTACATATGTAATTCTTTATGTAGATTAATATCGAAAGATGTACATAAAAAATAAAAAATTACTGAAATCTTTGAATACAAAACGAAATAAGTATATGGTCCCTTACAAAACACGAGTTCATGTTTGGTTCAAAACCACATGTTTGTAGAGTTTAAATTTTGAAAGTGTTTATCGTTGCAAATGTTTTATTATTCTTGTGATTCAACTTTTTAGTTTTATTTTCTATCCTAATTTTATCTATTAAATAATATTCCAACATGACAGAAGTTGATTTTCCTCGTGGTAAATACCCTGGTTACAAAGATTCTTTGGCAAAGAAAGTGCCTAAAAGACCAGCGGAAGATGAGTTATTCTCTACTCGTGTCTTGAATAAAGATGATGATACCGGTGGGGATGATGAAAAAACTAAATCAGCTAAGAAATCAAAACGACAAAAAAACAAAAAATCTACCTCTGAAGAGGTTAGCGAGCCAGGTGTACCTTCTTTTGATGAAAAGGTTGTTATTTATCGTTTAAAAACTAACAATGTTGCCATCAATAGCATCATATTGGGATGTGTTGCTGAAATTAAAGACTACGAAATGAGTGTTCAATTACCAGGAGCAGTTTTGGTCAAAGTTTCTATAACAAATATATCCGAACCGTATAGTAAAGCACTGGTGACATATGCTCAAGATCCTGCTAATAACCCATCACCACCTAAACCTAAATCCTTGTTTCAACCGGGTGACTTACTTCCTGTTAAAATATTGGACAAGAAAGAATCTCATATGAGTTATGATGATACTTCAATGTCTCTAACTGATATAGATGCCTCGGTAAATCCAAGAGATGTTTACAGCGATCTTCATACTGCACCATTTTTAAAAAATTGTGCCAACACAAGTATATGTGCTGCTGTAGTTGAAATCGAGGACCACGGTTATTTGATGGATATTGGCCGAGAAAATATTAAAGGTTAGAATTTTTTATATCTTTTCTATTGAACCATTTCTGAATTTAACCAACTATTATTGTCCTTTTCTAGGTTTTATGAGTTTTGATGATGCTAAACCATTTATAGAAGCTCGTAACTTGAAGAATCTATCAGTTGGCCAAGTAATTCTATGCAATATTATTTCTGCCTCGCAAAGAGTTGTTAAATTAACTACCAAAGCAATCAAGCCTCGTAATTCCGAAGACTCAACGTTTCCAACTTCTTGTTTACTACCGGGAGTTACTGTGACAGCAAAAGTTTTAGCAACTTGTGAAGTAGGATTAGAGGTAGTTGTATTTGGTCAGCATAGAGGTTTTGTCCACAAAGATCATCTAAAGACTATATGGGATCTACCTCGTGATGATTACCAAGTTGGAGAAGATTTGAAAGGAATAATTTTATTTGTTAACCCAGTTAACAAAGTTGTTGCTTTAAGTTTACGTTCTCATCCTGAATTGTCATCTTTAAAAAAGTCTTGGGCAGAATTGCGGATCGGCCAACTAATTGAAAAAGCCCAAATTGTTGGAAAAGATTCCGGTGGCTCATTCATTTTCAAATTTCCAAATGGATTTAAAGGTGTAGCACCCAAACATGAATTGTCCGATGATTTTCTTGGTCAAGAAGATTTGGCAGTTATTGAAACTCAACTACCCATTGGATCTTTTCAAAAATGTCGAATCAAATCATTCTCTTACCTTGATGGTTATGCCAAAGTTACCCTTAAAAATTCCCTCCTAGAAGCAGAACATCTTTCAGTTGAAGACTTAAAAGTAGGCCAAGTTCTTGAAGGTCGTGTTAAAAAACTTAATAAAAAAGGGTTGATCATCACACTAGGATTCGGTCTTAAAGCATATTGTCCAACTATACATCACAAAGACTCTGTTAAACCTAAAGATTACGCAGCTGGAAGCAAATTGAAATGTCGTATAATTCGTCTCGATAGCAAATCACTGGTTCCCCGGATCGCCGTTACTTGCCGAAAAGAGTTGATTCGTGAAAAAAATATTATCGACGATTTTTCTAAAGCTGTAGCTGGACTGTATACTCGAGGAATAGTTGTTCTTATCCAAGAAAATGGTCTTGTAATTGAATTTTTCAACGAGCTCCGTGGTTTTCTGTCAGCTAAACGTTTCCAGAAAGAAAACCTGCAATATTCTGTTTCATCTTATTCAATTGGACAAATCCTACCTGTTTATGTTGTCCAAAGTGATGCAAAGAATGAAAAAATACATTTAAGTTTAATCTACAGTGAACCTGAAGAGGAATCAGATATTATCTCATCCACACCAATTGGAACTATTTTATCTGATTTAACTGTTGTCAGTAAAGATGCGGATGGATTTTCCTTGACCAACACTGACGGTGATAGTTTCTATCTTCCTAAGGCTCAGCTTTCTGATTATCCTGGTCTTATTGATAAACTTCATGAGGTTATTCAGGTTGATGATACAATTGAAAAAGTTGTTGTCTTCAAGAATACATCAAATGTCCCAATTGTTAGTCGTCGAGCTATATTTATTCAAGCAAGTGAGAAAGAAAATCCCGTCTTTAAACCAGAAACACTCAACACCGGTTTAGTTGTCCCTGCAATTATCAAAAACTTCAAAGTTTATGGAATCATTGTCGAGTGTCCAGGAGGAATGATTGGTCTAATACCAACAGAAAATATTTCTAAGACGAAAGTTGATCCTCTCGAGAGTGGCTTTGCGACAAATCAAACTGTTCTTGTTCATATTAACCATTTAAAAGAGAAAGACGACGAAAAAAGACTCAACTGTTCATCCATCATATCGCAGTGTGTTTCACCCGATTTCCCACCAGAAATGATCTTGTCAAATTATTTAGTTGACTATACATTTATCAAATCGAGGCTATGGACCATCAACAACAAACCTGTTACTCGTGCCTTATCTTCAATCAAACCTGGAGATATTTTACCATTTAAAGTTCTCAAAAGTGTGGATGAGCAAGCTTTGTGTGCATGTACAGTAGAAGGTTGTAAGAAACCTATTCCTGGAATAATTAATCGTTCCAAGAAAAAATCTAATGATGGTAAAGTTGGTCAAACAGGTGAAGGAGTTGTTCTTTATATTGACATAGAGAAGAAACTTGTCCATCTTTCAGTTGACCAAGATTTACGAAAAAAGGCATCATCAGCGATTAAAAACTCATCATATTCACGAGTTTCTGTCGGACAAGTGTTGATATCCAATGTTGAATTGACTACAGACAAATTTCACATAGTTTCTCTTAAAGGCCACGCAATTGGTGCTTTGGCTTATATTCCTCGTTACATTCATCTCAATGCTCTCAAGCCTGATTCTAATTTGTACAAAAATGGCCAGAAATTGTATTTTGCTGTTAAGGAAAAATTAACTGCAATAGATGAATCCAGTTTAATTATTGGGTCCAAAACATCTGAGAAACCTACGAGTGTCAAAAACAAAGAAGCTGAAGCCTTGCTTGCTAAAGCTAGAAAAGAGACTCTGAAAAAAGCGATGAATATGGTTGAAAATAAAATTAAACTTGGAAAGGAAAATGTCACTAAAAAAGGCGATGATAAAAATGCTGATAAAAGTCTAGTTGAAAATGAAGACGATGATGATGAGTCCGATCCCGATGAAATCAACTTCGATTCAGATGAGGAGGAAGAGGTAGAAATGGAAACTGATGATGACGAAAATCAAAATAATGAAAAGAAAATAAGAAAAAGTAAAAATCTTGAAGAGGATGATCAGGAAAGCCCTTCATTTTTTGTTGACACCGAAGGAATTTCGACGAGGAAAACCGTAAAGTCTAACGCAAATGATGATGATGAAGATGATGACGTATCTTCAGTTGATGATTCAGATGAAGATGGTGTTAAAGTAATTACACCAAATATTTTAAAGAAAAGGAAAAGGAAAGTGTCGGAAAATCACGAAGATAAATTGAAAGAAGAAAAGAAGAAGCATTTCAAGAAGCTTCAATCATTGGTTAGCACTCGAGTTAAATCTGCAGTGACTGATGAGAACGAAGTATTCTCATGGGATGCTCCCAAAGATATTGATTTAAGCAATGAATTAGAGGAAGATGAAGATACAAATGTACCTGTCAGTAAGCAACCTGAAGACGAAGAAAATGGTGGTCCATTGACCAAGGAAGAGTTCGAGAAATTAGTTGTGCAATGTCCAAATGACATCGAGCGTTGGTGTCGTTATATCAATTATTATATTGGTCAAAACGAGATAATCAAGGCTAAAGAGCTCTGTGAAAGAGCATTGGAATCGATTGATCATAAAATAGAAGATAATAAATTGAAAATTTGGACACTCAAATTAAAGATTGAATACAAACATGGATCCTCCGAATCTTTGGAAGAGTTAATCAAACAAGCAAAATGTGCTAATGATGAGCTAAAAATTTATCAGAATATGATCAAAATTTACGAAGAAGATGGTAAAACAGAATTAGCTGAGCAAGTTTACAGAGAATCAACCAAAAAATTCCCATTGGTGAGTATTTTGATTTCTATTAATTTCATGTTTACAATTAGCAAAACTAACTATTTCAATTTATCTTAATTTTCTTAGAATAAATCACTTTGGGTTGCTTTTGGAAAGTTTTACCTCAAAAATGGTCGAGTCACTTCTTTCAGAGATTTATTCTTGCGTTGTATCAACTATATGGACAAAAAGGAACAATTGGACCTGATTGTTAAATTCGCCCAATTGGAATGTCAATATGGTGATTTAGAAAGAGCTAAAACAATGTTTGAAGCTGCTTTGGTCAATTTCCCTAAAAGAACTGACATTTGGTCAACTTATATTGATTTGATGATCAAATATAACTTAAAAGAAGAAGAAGGAATTATTAGACGTGATTCAATCGAATCAATAAGATTACTTTTTGATCGGGCTATTGCGATTAAAATTAAGGAGAAAAAGATTAGGTTTCTTTTTCAAAAATATATCGACTTTGAAAAGCGTTATGGAGACGAAGAAAAGATTGCTATCATTAACAAGAAAATGTCAGAATATGTTGATGCTAATGATATTATCTATTGAAATAATTATAAATCTGTCATTTTTTGTAAATAAAATCCCTTTTTTTGCTAATTAAATTAAATGACTACTTTTTATTCAAACTTGAATTTTCTGTACAAAATTAACAATCATGGGATAACTTGTCCTTTTTGGTGTCTAATTGATTCTCTCTCCACTGGTTCATCTGGTTTAAGCTGCTTAGCCAATTGAAATTCCTTCATATACTTGACAATTTGTTCAGCAAAATGTTTATCTTGTAAATAACGTCGCCTTTGACCCAAAGTCAACGGTGGTTGACCTCTTCCATCCATAAAACTAAAATCAGGTCCATCGAAAAGTACAGAATCACCACGACGAGGAGGTCTACCTTCAAACATACGCTTCTTGTTGATGGAACCGATACACCGCACACTTGTAAAGTTGGTGACAATTTGGGGAGTACATATCAAACGATTTACTTGGTTACAAAGCATGATTAAATTATAACAATTTAAAATGATTGAGTGATAATTTGTTTTCAAACCAAGAAAACAAGCAGAAAAACATGTGTTAGATTCAGATTGGATCCGGTATCAGGACTTGGATCTTTTAAGAAATGGAGGGTAATTTTGTTTGTTTTCAAAGTTGATTGGTCAATTAAATTTAGTTTTCCTCATTTAATAACTTCATGATACTTATTAACTTTATTTTTAATAACTCATCGTTTTAATTAGATCAAAGAAACGTTGGAGTATCGGAATATTAATTTTCAAAACTGTTGAAATGCAGTAGTTGGTGAGTGACAACTTTTGCAATAAATATTTATTCCTCCATTTATTTTCCCAATTTATGATTGTAAAGCAAGTCAATTTATTTCTTCTCTCTAATTCTAGGTCAGAAAATCAGTTAAGTGTATAACCAGGAAGGAAAACTGAGTATCAATCACTACTAAACTGTGATTTTTGGATTATTCCTGTGTGTATTGCTGACGACGATTGTACAGTTACATTGTATTTAATTTACCATTGGATTTACATTGACCAAAGGCCATTTTGGAAACTAATATCAATAACTGAGACTTGAATGTTATCCTTTTGAGGATTTGTCATATTTACATTGCAATATTGTCCTGATTGTTGCAAGTCTGTCATCAAACATAATCAACATTTCAAAATATGCATTATCACTTCGTGCATTTATTGTCTACTTTCCTAGATTATCACATCATCAAACATACTCAGTCCAGAGACTTTTTCAGTCAACCTTTGACTGTGCTTCAAACAATTGTTACCAATTGGAGTCGATGGATGAATATAAATCAACTGAGAATCAAGGGATTTGTTTGCAAGTGAAAATGTTTAACCAAACCAAACCAGCCAGTCAACCAACAAGGAACAAAACAAATTTATCCGTTATTTATATTGGATTGTAATCAATCAAAATGGCAAAGCCTAGGATAGCAAAAGCATGGAAACCTTTAATTATAAAACTGAGAATTGAAGCAACTATTGAAGGAAAATTAGAACACCAAGAGAATAATCTGAATTGATGTCCTCAAGCTATATTTGTCAATTTCAATTACCTGGATCTGATGGCAAATCTTGTGATTAACCCAAATTTACTGTAAGCTGATACCATTTAACCAGATGAAAACCAAAAGAAACGCCCAAAGCTTCCAAAAATACTGACAATTTAAAATTTAAATATTAAAAGTTTAAATGTTATTTAAATACAAATTTAATCTAATTTCTCGAAAAACAAACAGCTTTGTATCAATACTGTCAGACTGAAATTGATAGACAGTACAGACTCTTTGTATAAGTACTCTCCAATGGAAATGCTTAAATGGCTAAAATAACAACAAAGTAGATCAACACAATTTTACAATTATGATTGTTTCAAAATAGGAGCCAATTTAATAGCACTTAAAACAGTAAATTTGTTGATAAACCTCACTTTGAAGGGCATAAATTGTAATTAGCTACAAAAAATCACGTAAAGCTGTTAGTTTAAAGAGTAGATGAACTGAAACAATTGCAAGAAGGTACAAAAGGTTGAAGTGGCTCATGTAATTTACACTCCAAGTACATTATTACATAAATTTGCTTAAAATTTAATCATATTACCAACAGATTACTTGATTATAATGAAAACAGATCAAAATTATAGTCCAACTTAAACACTGGCAGCGAAAACTAAACATTGTTTCAAAATATCAAAACAAATCAGCAATAACATGAGACAGTTACATAAAGCTGGTTAACAAGATATACTGGTATTATTAAATATTATTGATACAAGTTAATTGCGCCAATACCATAAATTAAGACTAATCATACATTGAAATACAAATGATTAATGTTACTAAAAGACTAAAACTGATAAGTCAAGTAAATGTGTAACATGATACAACAACAACCCAAACAAAATCGGGTTAAAGCAACCCAAAAACATCAGGTTTACTGGAAAAAAAACAGCTTTAAACCAGAAAAGGATAAAAACAAAACTCAAGGCCTAATGATTTAGCTAATGACCAAAATGATTTAAAAACAAGAAGTATTTAGAGTCTTAATAATAACAGTTGACCAATCAATGTTACCAATCAACAATCCTATTTATACATTGATATTTATTGAGTAAATGAATGAAATTTGAGCCAATTTAAAGTGATGACCGTTTTGATGAAGAGTCACTTGAAGAATCAGTGTAAATCCTTGATCAATCAATTGAACCAATTGACTAGAGTCAAGGATTGACAGGTTAATTAAATGAACCTTGCCTTAAATGTCCAAATCAACCACTCAGCTAACCAAACAATCGGTTAAGCTTTCCCTTTGAAACCCAAAAATAGAGATGAAAGGTTAATATGAAGAGCCAATTGTCATTGGCAGTGTTTAAGATTATGATAATAAATACAATTATGAATGTGATAAAGGCAGTCTCTGTAAATGGTAAAGACATTCATGAACGAAAGGAGAAGAAGAAAAAGGAAAAATGAAAACTCGATTTGAAATGAACATTCAGATGTATTGATAAACAAGGGCAAAATGGGAGGACAAGAAGATGCAATACTTACGATTGATAAAAAAAAGCATAATGACAATAATCATTCAATTGTGATTGATGTTAAAAGGCAGTAAAATAATGATGAATAAGAAGAGTAGATAAATTCAGATGCTGAATCACGCATGAATCCTGAGACTCACTTTTCCAGTGAACAAGAAAAATATCTCGAGATTTGTTCATTCCCAGTTTGGTTAAACCAATCAATTGTATCAAGTGATGATTTTTTTCTTGCAAAAAGCATCATTCCAACTCTGATGAAAATCGTTCCAACATCATAATCACAACAATAAACAATTTGAATGGAAACAAAATTAGACAAAATTTTTGTTGAAAAGTGAAACTGAAAAAAGTGTCATCAAAGTGCAAACCTTGTCATGTTTAACAATTGAAATCATTGACTAATCATCACCATTAACCATGGATTTAACTTCATTACAAGCAATCAATGGAAGTGATTCAATCGGGTTCAACTTCAACAACCTGGAAAGTCCAATAGCTTATAATCACTACAGAGGTAAGAAGAGTTCAATGGAAACATTAAACCAAAAACTTCTTTTTCTGGTTTCTTACAAAGATGAAAAAAAAGCAAATCAATTTAATCATAATCACTTGAAATGTCCATTTAATCGAGTCATGATAAATGTGATTCATTGAAATGAAAAGCAAACAAAAATTGTGCTCAAAGTGTAATCAATCAAACATTATTTTTTCACCTCATTTAAAGATATGATGAAAGGTTTCATGCGCTTTTAAATCAACTGTCATTGTCAGATCTTACTTTTATCAAGAGCATTTCATGATCCAAACCTCATTTTTCCCCTCAATCAAAAGAGTTATTTAATTGACAGTTTTAATCAGCTTCTCATGTAACTATTAGCTGAATTATTCCTGACATTCCCTGTCACTCCCTGCACCATTCATTCAAATTTTTTCCCCATAAAAATCACAATTCTATTCGTTGAAACTCTTGGTGAAATGAAAGTCTTTTACAAATAATCTGTGAAATTTGAGGGAAATAATCGTCCATTGAGAAATCGAACCTTTGATTCCTTTTTTTGTCATAAACAGATGTTAAATGTGAGGATAAACATTCCCAATCTAATGAGAAAAATGTTGATTAACATTGAAGGGAAGACATTTATTAATGATATCATTGTCATCAAAGTCAACATGAACACCTTTAATGTGATTATCAGTTTATTCATTAATATTTAACAATTGTACAAATCTGATTCAAATGAACCAATGAATAAATTTACATTTGTCAACAATATTGTCATTTGTTGAAAAAACGAGTGAAAAGGAAAGAAAAAAGTTGACAATGAAAATGTTGAGCACACAGAATGAAAGATTTTTCATAGTCGATGAACAATTAATAAGTATTGATGAGACCTTCAGTCCACTTTTAGAGATGGCAACACCTGATTAACTTAATCTGACCGCTGCTGAGTTCATCAATAATTTTCATTATTATTTATGTTTGTGCTTGAGCTTGAAGAGAATCAATCTTTAACTGAATCACTTCAATTATTCATCTAATTATTGTTAATAATGTTTTCCTTTCTTCATCACACTTCAGGTTACACTTGGAGTTTATTATTAATGGTAAAGTTATTTATAGTCCATTAGATTAATCAACTGGGAAAGTTGAGTTTCCAGTTTGTGTGGTAAAATATTGAAAATTACATTGAGATTTACATTTAATTTGAATACATTTTTGTCGCTCAATCAAACCATCAACATTCAACTAATGGAAATTTAATTAAAAGAATTACTCAATTTCATGTTTAAATGAATTTGCTTTTCAAATAATTAAGAGATTTCCAAGTAAATGTTTACAGTTGGTTGAATGTTAAACATATTTAAACAGATTACAAAGGTAAATGTTCAAGAGTCATAAACTTGTAACATCTTTGTATCTAACACCTTTCATAGTCCAATATTTCCTTCCTCTTGAGATTGTTCAATGGAAATTGAATATTTGGAAAACTTCATGGACTGAGGTTGAAAATGGTTCAAAAATCTGAAACTCAAATTGTGACCATAAATGTTAATCTGAGCCAAAAGATGAACATGAGTCTACAGCAGCTTTTTAAAGCGTAAACACTTTTTAGATCCTGACCTTTCAATCGTTTGATAAGCTGGATTTTTCATCGATAATTGCTGTACAACTAAAGTTTCTGGTTGACTTTGAAATCAATTCGTATTCCTCGAGTTTAGTGGGAAAAACAATTAAAAACTGTAAATAACAAGTCAAATTGAAAGCTGAACCCAAAGGTGAATGTCTATGTTTTGATCAAAAGGATTGGATCATTATGCTAATTGTGGTTGAAACTTAACTGAACTGAGATCGAAGACGGAGATTGAAGCCACGAGAGAATCAGTTTTATGTATCGATATATGAGGTAACCTTTAGTCTAGACCAGACCTTTTCCCATGAAGTAGGAAGCATTTCTTGTAGGTGTTATTGAAAAATGAGAAAAAAATTGTGGATAAACAGGCGACAAGAAAGGAAAACATTGAATAATAATTCAATATCAAAGCTTTAATTTGTTTTCGCCAACATAAGTTTACATTTTAAAGCACTAAACAAGGCTTGTTTCAAAGTTATCGTTGATTCCAAATGGCAATAAATTGATAAATTGTTCATGACGGTTCATCATAACCATTAAATTGAATTAATACCTTTGAAAGCTATAAAAATTCATAGATAACAAAAAAAGAGTAAAAAAACTAATTTCCAGTTTCCAAGAATCTATTAGTTGATCAAATTATTGTGTCATGAAAATTTCCACCTACAAATGATGGAACCAACTTGAACAATGAACAATCACAGATTTGTAACAATCGGTTACAGCAAAGCAAAGGTTTATCAAGAAAAATTGCAATCCTTGACTCGATATCAAACTTTGAATCAACTTTGAATAAATCAGTGAAACTGAGATGAATTCAAGTCAAATTATCACGATTTAACGATAAAATTGAAAAGAATCTTTTCCATTCAATCGTTCAGTTTCTCTGCTGTCCTCATCATTACCTTTTTTATGTGCAACCAAAGCGTATTATTTATTGCATTACGAAAAGACTGGAAATAATTCAATGTTCAACAATGAATATCGAAAAAAAGAGCCCTGAAATGAATGAAAATGGAATGAATGATAGGAGAAAATTGAAAGCATAAAACATCTTTATTCATCTTCTCATCACTTGGACTTTTGCACCATGAAAAATGTCAACTTTTGAAAGAAATTGGAAACTGAATGTTGATCAAAAAAATAGTTTTCGTCTTGATCTAGTCAATGGTTAGAGAATGATAAATTTGACCATTTCATTTCCAATCTTGAATAGTCATTCGAACCTGTTCAACATTTTCTGTGAAATAACTCTTGTCTTTGAGGCAATTTCAACCAAATTTAATCAATTCAATGATAAAGAAGCGCAATTTTCCAATCAAACAATTTATTGATTGAAGATGGAAAATTGTCACTCCCAGTAATTTCATTGTGATAAAAGAGCGTGTTTACAGGGAGGAAATGAAAGGAAAGAAAAGAGTAGAAAAGATGCTTTAAAGGTTAACTGTTTATATTGAAAGAGAACCCTGAACACTCATGAAAAGATAAACAAAGTTGAACCTAAATTTAGAACCAAACTTGACCCGTTTAACATAAAGATTCATAACTAATTAGGGATTCAATTCATGAAGGTTGTAAAATCTGTAAACAAGACCTTTTTATTGCTCTTTTCAAACCTTACAATTTACTGCATGATCAGTTCATCTTAATGAAAGTAAAATGTCAAAAAGTCTCAAAGTCTTTAGCCTTTCACTCAAAGACTTATAATGAAAAGAGTCTTTTAGATTCAATTTGGAGACATCGTTTTCAGATCTTTTAATAATAATGTTCAACTTTGGTGATAAAAATCACCTTGAAAGAAATTAAATATTCAAAGATATGCATAAAGATATAAATCATCCAACAATAAACCATAACATCATTAAACTAAAATATTATTAGGTTGTCCAAAACAAAATGAGATTTTCGGATGAAACGGGATTTTCGTCTTGCTTCAGCTTCAACTTTATGCTCCAGGACTTCAACTCCTCAAAACAATCATTGATTAAGCGAATTCTTAATACCAATAACTTTATAAAAACTAGAATCTTTCAGCAATTAAACTTTACTCTGAAATCAAGTTTAAACTCTCCCAACGCTTTAAGTAACCGTGTTGTATCAGTCAATCTCAGTCAGAGTCCAAAAGATCTGAATGTGCCTCATTTTATCAGCGAGTTTTACTGATGCTGTTAGCCCAAGTATTCAACTTGAACCAATAATTGTATGGTTTGGTCAAGTTTAAATTTGACCTTCTATGACCCTCAGAACATGGATCTGAAAATTGAAAGAAAAGTTGATGGAGCAATGGTTGAGAAGCAGACAAAGACCACAAAAGTAGACAATAAAATTCATTTTTAATGATTTCTTTTCATTCAGCTTTATCTCGGTGCAAACTGAACTCAAAGCTACTTCAAGTATCCTCATGTTAGGTTTGTAGTGCAAAACAATAACAAAATTTCTTTAACTCAACGAATGTATTCATAATATCTGATTCAAAAGTAGGAAAAAAAAAAAGAAAACAAAGAAGAATGAAAATGAATAACAAAAAGATTAAGTGATCAGCATTTCATGCTCAAGTTACTATGGAAAGAAGCAAAATTTTAAAGAATAGGAAAACTGATAACCCAATGTTGAACATTTGATTTTTTGCCTCTTTTCCACTTAGCATTTCATCTTTAACTTTTTCACTTTTCAGAATGATTACGATTTTATCAAGAAAACGAAAATTCTGTACAAGTTTTCATTTTTTGCCAACAGAAAAAAAATGATAACCATTATCATTATTCAAGTTTAACTTGAAATATCAACAAAGCTAAATGAGATTCATTATCGTTCATAATCTTCACTAGAAATGAAATCAAATTGATCAGATTAGTTGAAGGAAGGAAATGAAGGAGAAGAAGAAGAAAAAACTAATAAACTTTTTAGATCAAAACTGGGAGGGAAAAGAATAATAATTTCAAGAATTTGCTCATTAAATCGAATTCTTCGTTTTCTCTTTTCATCATTTTTCACCTTCATGACATTAATTAACTTCATGGTAATTACTTGGAATGGGGAGAGACTTTTCAATGTTTCTGATTGATATTAAATTCCAATGATAATGCTGGGAGTGAAAAATGTTTTACGATTAGAGATTCAAATGAAGCAGAACTCATCATGGTTGGATTCATGAAACTGAACCTGGTTTGGTTGATGGAAAAAATGATGGACAAAAAAATTTCAACATGAAAAAGAAAAAGAAAAGAAATGAAAATGGAAAAATCCATTTTTCTTGAACACTATTAACTGATAAAATTGAATTTTATCCTTCATGATTTTGTCACCTGAACCCATGTGTTGACCCATGTAATGGATTCAATGTGACTTGAAAATCAACAGATAAGCTGAAATGGATGAAAAT